GTACGATACTCATCAACAATGTGATAAATATTGTTCAGGATGTCAGCCTACAAAAAAGAAATTGTAAATTAATTTTGATTTAATTGGTTATTAGTAATAAAAATAGAATACATATAAGTAATTAACAAGTAAAATTAATTGAAATACTTACATATAAGAAATAAAAAAAGTAATACATAAGATAAAAAAACTTACATATAATATTTCGCGTTCTGAAGATGACTGATAGCCCTGACTCCCGTACCCGTACTCTCCGGATCACTGGTGAGTATCACAGTTTTCTTGTGAAATCAAGGGAGGTAGTTAGCGACAGCTTAAAGAGGTAGGCCCTCGGTTACTTCTTCACCTTCTACCACATAAGATCTCCTATTATCCCAATGGGGGTTAACATCACTATGGTAGGCTTTCCATTTTATGCCTAATTTCCCAGTCGCTTTACAGTCTTTGTGTATAGCCTTCCAAACTAGAATGTCGCAACGAATCAATGGATCTTGGGGCTCATATTGCCAACAATTAAACTGACGCAAAACTCGGTTGGGCTCATGAGGTTCCCTAATGGATTGGAAGAAAATCCAAGACCTCGTTTTCTAAACATGACTGCCCCGCTTATTACAATCGGAAAGTTTCTCAAGGAAAGGCGTGTAAGGCAGCCACAGAAACTGCATAAAATGAAAAAACAACAGGCAGGATTAGTAGATTAGAAAATCCACAAAAAATTAAAAAAAATAAAAAAAATCATACTTGGTAATGAGAAAAAAAAAAAAACTTACATCACCATCTCTTACAAGGGCTAACTGATCCCTGATCGGAGGTAAATAACCCTTGGAGATTTGAATAAGAAAACGGGCAATTCCACCTATCTGGGCACAAAATACATGTAGTTACTCATAGGAAACAAGAAAAAAAAAAGAAGATAAATGTAAGAATTCATTACGTGTAAATGCTTTACGTATGAGCTAATGGAGCTTCCGGATTCATAATAAAAGCAAAAGGCACGATGTTCCGAATGGGTTGAATCCTTAGAATACGCTCCCAAGCTCAAACCTGTAACAATTAACAACACTAAATTTACGAATATTTGATAATGATAGCTAAAATCAGAAAAAAGCAAAAAATAAAAATAAAAACCTACCAAAGCATACATGCGCCAATACACTGAAACCGGTCATGTCGTTATAGCCAAATTCAGATGCCTTAAACAGGCCATTATACAAATACACTAAGACTGCAGAACTCCAACTAAGCTGACCACATGACTCTAAATCCTGAAGTTGTATCAAATTGCACAGAGGTACCATGTTCCCACTTTTATCCGCAAACAAGAAGGAAACCATCAAATATAGAATAAAAGCCCGAACCCTCTTGTCGTAAGCTTCATCATCATCGGATAAGTTTTTTGAAAGTGCGCGTTTTAGCTCGCCTTCAAGGGATTGCGCATATATCTTATTACCTTTGAAATTAGAAGACTTAGGTCTAAAACCACACATTTTGTCGCAATATTCAATCCATTTAGCCCTATCAAAGCCATACGTTCTCCCCAAGATAGCCGGACCATCCACGCAGGCCGAAACAACACCTCAACATCCTGGAGGGTGATTGTGGCCTCCCCAAAATAGAAGTGAAGCGTATGGGTTTCAGGACGCCACCGTTCCACCAAGGCAGTTATTACCGCATGGTCAAGAGTAATTTCCCCAACATTCATGATCCCCCCAAAACCGGCTCGACTAATCCTATCTATTACAGATTGAGGGACATCTTTTACAATTGTCCAAAATTGGTGATCAAATTTCCTACATTTCAAAGAATTGCTGTGATTTTTAATATGTTGGCCCACCAGAATGCAGCCATTAGGGATATCATGGATTTGTAAATGTCATTATCTTTGAAGAATTTAGATACAGGCTCTTGATTATGATCATCAGCAGAGACTTTGCTTGGCTCATCCCCATCACCCTTTTCACCAATCGATGAAGGCTTCTTCCCGGATTCAGAATCATCTTCGTCATCAGACTCCCATTCACCTCACCAAATGAGAAAAGCTGTGGAACGTACCAAAACTTAGGGTCGGCTTCGTTAGTGCTGGGGTCCTGCTCTTTGGTTTCCGGTAACTCTTTCAACGTCAGTTCTCTTTATGATTTCATAAAATGGTCAAAAATGTTGTCGACTTTGTTGTCGACTTTTGTAAGTAGATGTCAAAATTGACGGACACCTTTTTCATTTTTTACTACTCTATTTTTATTGAACTTGTTACGACCTGACTTCATTATTTTTTATTTTATTTTGATATGAAGATTACAAATAGGGCAAAATTTTAAAAAATCTCATTTCATCTCCCTACATTCTATTGTGTTAGCCCTTTACTCCTTTTAATAAAAAATAATTATCCTTCCTTGCTTCGATGACTAGAATTTTACTTTTCCCACATAGATTGGCAAACAAGTATGCTAGACCCAAATAAATAATGCTAGAAGACACTTTTTCATATTATGACAAAAATTATAAAAACTTTCAAAAGCGTGAAAGAAATAAAAATGAAAATTTATCACTTATGTTGTCGACTAAGCTAAGTCAATGAAAGCTCAGCGAGCCCAAAATTCTGCTGTCATTGACTTGCAAGAAAGGACAATTGCCCAAGAAATGCCTCCCGTCGACTTTGTCGTCCGTTTGCCTACATCGACGACTAATTCAGCCAACAAAATTTTCATTCCTCTTCCCATCCAATTTTTGCACTTATTGTTGCCTTTGTTATATAAATATTTATTTATTTTATCTAAAGACTCCACATTAGTCTAAAATATTACTCCCTCCGTCCTACAAAAATAGTCCACATTGAGTTTTGAGTTTTATAATATTTTTAGTAACAAATTTGAAAACTTAATGTGAACTATTTTTTTGGGAGGGAGATAGTATTATAAAGTAATTCAAGTCATCTCCTTACATTTTGTTGTTAGTCTTCTAAATAAAAAACGATTATCATTCTTTACGGCATTAACTCTTATTTTATATATATATATATATATATATTGCATATTAACGATGGAGAAGCAAAACATCTAGATATACCCGACGACATTTTCATTGACTTGTGTAGAGCGGCGATAAAGTCAATGGCTGCAATTTTTCATTCTTTTCTGTCATTTTATTTTTTCTGAAATTCTCATTTTTTTACTATTTTTCTTTTTATTTTGATGTAAATATTCAAAATACTTTCAAAAACTTTTCATTATGTTTAAATATCTTAATTTCAGCCTGTTGTAAGTTTAAAAAAAACAATTATCATTTTTTATGGAGGTGAATACGTTTTTATTTAACGAATTGAGTATGTATTGAGGATGTATAAGATGGATAGCTAGTTCACAAATAAATTCAGGAAAATACTTTCGAATTCTACAAAATAGTGGAACTTAAAAGTATTGAAGATGTTAAATGTAAACCTTTGTCCTTAAAAAATAGTCTATATTACAAATTTGTACTAAAATTATACAAATCAAAATTCAGTATTAATTATTAATTTTTTAGAACATGGAAAATACATAGAAAAATTAACATTTAAGTATATTGTCGACTTAGTCATCGACATTGGTAATTATGTGAACAAGTCGACAAGCCTGAGATTCAGTCTTCATTGACTTGTTACAAGAAAATAACATTATTGGCTAAAAAAGGGAAATGAAAAATCAAATCGACTTGTTTGCCGACTTGATAAAGTCGATGAAGAGAGCGACGGACCCTATTTTCATTCTTTTTCCGCTTTATGTTTTTAGAACTAATTTTTTTTAAAAAAAATGGATAGTTCTAGTGAGAATTGAACCCTTGACCTCCTGGTTTTTTTGTTTTTTTTTTTAGAACTTTTTTTCTTTGTTAGTATTCAATTTATTTTGATTGAACGAATAAAAATATGTCCAAAATTTTTTCATTATATTAAGGAAATTTCATTTCATCTCCCCTGCTGTTAGTCCAAAACGATCTTCTCCCCTTACAGCGGTGACTACTATTTTTTTTTTCCAGGTACTGACTATGGAAAGCAGAATAGCTGGTTGCCTGGTTCCAATCATGAATTCAATAGAATCCACTTCTAAATTATAGAAAGGCCATAAAAACTTTTAAAATTTTTGGAAGAAATAGAAATTAAATAGAGAAAATAACATTAAACTATGGTTTCGGCTTAGTCACCAACATTGATAAGTCAATGAACAAGTCGTCGAGTCCGAAATTCAGCCGTCATTACGTTGCAAAAGGAAAATTGGCAAAAATAAACCTTCCGTCGACTTGTTCGTCAACTTGTTTTAGTCAATGGCAAAGTCGACTGACACAATTTGCATTTCTTCTTCTCCTCTATTTTCATAATCTTTAAAGATAAGTAAATCATGTGAAGATTCTCTTCATCCCAGTTTAAGTTTTATTTTTAATACAGAATATACTACAAGTGAGAATTCAAATTAGACAATTATTTTAAGCAGATGGAGTACTATCTTTCTAAGCATTATTATTAATTTTCATCAAAGGCACGTGAATACCAATGTCTGATGCAGCTCTCCGGAATAAGAAAGGTGCTCACATGATTAGCACATAAAATCCTCTTGAAACATCCAAGACTCAAACGAGATTGAAAATTTGGACATTTTGACAGTAATATGGGAACTTAGATCAAGAATTTCATTTTTCTCTAACTTACAAGGTCTTTAAATAAGGAAAACAAATACTCCTATCATCTGTCTTGTCACATTTTCTTTAACTATAAGTTTTAAGCACAACTTCTCATTTTTTGACCTCGTAATCTTGGCATGCAGTTAGCCCGTTATCATGATGAAGCCAGAGTTGAACGGTGGATGAGGAGGATTTCCCTAAAGGATTCCTCTGTGAAATCACCACAATGTGGTCACAAGTCACAACGCGACAGTATCCAATTCAAAGAAGTAGCATATGGCAGGTCATTGGAACCATTGTCTTTTGAGTGTTTGTGAATTTTTGATTTACAGGGTTAATTGGCGCATATACTTGCAGTGATATTCGATCATGTGATTTACATGACATCATATATATCTCTTTGAAACAAGAATTTCTTAATGCAGTTCTGTATCTTTTTTTTATGTAAGTGTTCAAAGTTTCTGTATCTGATGACGAATAAAAATGCGTTTTTTTTTTTTTTTGGCTGATTTTGTTTCGAGCTTGACACTAGTGATTCTTCTAACTTATCAAAAATTCTTAAGCATGTGATGGATGGCCTTGTCTTATAATGTCTTGATTTCGCTTATATGCAGCCTCCAGGTGCATATCTGCTTTATGTCTGAAACAAAGACTGTTGTGGATCAATAGCGTTGCTTGGCGAATGCTGTCTTAAATCAAGGAAAAAGAACGGAGCTTTTCTTGGAGGATTTGGCTAGATCAGATCAGTAGTTTGGGCTAACAAAAAAAAAAAAAAAAAATGGAGATGCAGAACATTGGCCCCGGCAACAGTGACAATGCCTTCTACAGGTATAAGATGCCCAAAATGATCACGAAGATTGAGGGTCGTGGAAATGGCTTCAAGACACTTGGGTTCATTCCTTCAAGACAGGAGAAAGTAGTGGTTGGTTTGAGAAGAAAGCATCCAAATTCCCAACTACGAGCTCACATAAATCCCTGAACGATTCCTCCGTATAGACAGCGAAATGAGGCGACAACACAACATTGTTCAATTCGCAAAGCTCAGGAGGAACATATGGTTCGTTTTCCAAAACATCCAATCCTGCACCTGCAATTCTTCCTTCTTGCAAAAACTGCACAAGTTCTTTTTGATCAATGATAGCTCCACGGGCAATATTTATGATCACACCATGCTTTCCAAGCGCCTCGAGGACTTCCTTAGTGATTAGATGATTTGTTTGATCATTCAACGCACAGCAAATTATAAGGATGTCACAATCTGCTGCTAATTCGCGGACATCCGAATAAAACTGGTAGGAAACCGAAGACTTCTTGCTCCTTGAATGGTATGAAATTTTGCAGTCGAAGGCCTCCAGTCTCTTTGCAACTTCTTGGCCGATGCTTCCTAATCCAACTATGCCAACGCGCTTATGTGACAACTGCTACAACAGTGATTTGAATGATATACTACTTTGTATCAGCAAGTCACTAGAGCAAAGAAATGGTCTCAATCAACAAGACTCTGACAAAATTATGTTCCCAGAGTAGTTATGATCCTTCCATGAAACTTACCAGATTAAAAGGTGTCAAAATGTCCCAACACTTCACATGCTTAGTAAATTTCACATCAACTAGGCAGTTTATAGCACAAAATCCTTTAAAATTAGGTAAATCTTTGACAAAATTTAAATATGTGGCAGCTTGTTTAAAGCTAAATCTGAGACGAAAGTAAGGATTTGAATATAAGTTAATGCTTGCTACTTCATCAATTAGGTGCATGTTGTGCAGAATAAGAAAAAAGCAGGAAGAACAAAGAGCACGATTAGCAGATTACATCCTCTTCTAATGACAAAGGGAGATGGGGAGGCCTCAAATGCTCAAAGTATTGTTAATGTTGATAACTGATAATCTACTTTTCTTCATGACATATATTAGATCAAGAATGTCATTACTTCCATACTTAAAATGGCTACACAAATAAGGAAAGAGACAAAAATCAACCTTTTTGACAGTTTTCACTAGAAAGCCTTCTTAGAACTGGAAAGACTCCATTTTGGCTATATTCACTGTTTTGGTAAACAGTAAGCTTTTATTAATTAGCACAAAACAATCAAACTACGCAACATTCCTACTAGTTATTAAACTGTGAAAATAAGAACTCAAACTACCCAGCTACCTCAATGTTCCTAAATAACATTTTTCAACACTTTCTCTCATTTGGCTTGATGCACTTAGCAGTTATCATGATAAAGCCAGAAGAGGATGGCAGAAGACGAAGACATATGGAGGATGTTTTACAGGTAGAGTTTCGGCTAGCTCTGATTCTTGAAGGAGGTCTATATAATTACTGCTTTTCAGTAAAACTAGGTAAATCTTTTTGACTCATACGGGCTTCAACAACCTTCTACCAATTTTGGCCCATACGGGCTATAGCAACAGGTGCAACAAGGATGTCGCGCTGGATAAATTTCACAGTAGTTGGGCAGAATAATCAAACAAAAACTATCTATTTATAACCTCCTAACAGAACCATCTGCATTTGTTCGTTCATTTCCAACCTCTAATTATTTTCAGTTGAAGCTTTAGTATTACATCCAATGGAATCAAGTGCATATAATCCCGAAATGGGGCAATCCAATAGGAATGATTAGTGAAATTCAGATAATAAACCTAAGAATTACAAAATTTTAAGAAGTCAGGGAAAATCAAACAAAAGCAAAAGTAAGAACTAAGATAAAGAAGCAAGAAGGAAGAAAAAGGGAAGACCTTGGTGGCAAGAGGATAGGAACCTTCAACCGACTTAACCGGCCAAATCCCACTTTTCACGAATCGGTTACCGGCAGTAATTCTCCTCAACACATCGATCAGCAACCCAACCGCCAAGTCGGCGACATCCGGCGAGAATATGGTGGAGGCGTACGCCACCGCGATGCCACGGCGGCGACACTCTTGGAGGTCAATATGGTTCAGGCCAGCAGCTGTGACCACAACAACGCCGAGGGAAGGTAAACGGTCGAGGGTTTCGGATCCGAGGTGCTTAAAACCACCGCCACAAACCAAGGCTCTGGTATTCTGGGCGTGGGTTTGTAGGAATTGAAACAGAGGAACCGGAGATTGCCATGGTTTAAGGACTCGGAACCTGTCATCGAATAATTTCTCGTAGTTTTTTGTTCGGAAAATACCAGGCGGACCCAATACTAAGACTTCCGGCGGCGGAGGAGGTGGAACTTGTTCAGACATGGTTACCGCTCGATTCCATTTGACAATTATGTGGGAATCTGGAGGAAGTGGAAGAAGAAGCACAGAAAGAATTTTTCTATAGACTTAAAATCATGATAATGATCTCAATATTACGCAGAATGGACCTTTTGTGTACAACGTTTGCGAGCGAGGTCGGTCATTTTGACGGCAACTTCAAAAGTAGACAAATTAGTTCCAAGTTTTATACTCCTATGTCCCAAAATTATTGTCTAGTTTAAGATTTCATTTTTAGTACAATTTGAAATAAAAATAAAAACTCAAACTGGACAGAAATTATGGGACGGAGGGAGTAAATCTTACTATAAAATTGTAAACAAACTACCCTTCTCCATAGAAAAAATGACATAATCTAATAAACAATTTATTTTTAGGAAAATTACAATCCTAATTATTATCATACGGGATTTGATAAATAAAGAGCCATTTTGTTATATAACGAGCAAAATCTTTCTAAATACCAATAATACCCTTATAATAAATTTTAACACATGTATTGTAATTAATTTCTTTTATTTTTTCCCTTTCTTTTATGGTTTAAAACAAAATTCTTCGTCTATCTTTTTCATCCCTGAGTGTGTGGAATATTACATTTCTTTTATTGGTGTTCTAATTTCCACTTTCCGATCGTCACTCACCGGCATCAATTTATACAGTGGTAATTAATGTCTCTTCTTCCGCTTCCTCCTCGGTAAATTGTTGTTTAATTGGTCATTGTTGTTAGCTCCCTTGGATAGAAAGACGCTCTTCTCCTCTTGATATTGTAGCTCCTCTATCCATCCAGCCAGATCGGATGTTGCTCTTCTTGATTAATCGGCCAGTTCCCAAGCATGCACGTTATCGATGGCTGCTTAATCAATTGATGGCTCTAGCTAGAAAGTGTACCTACCATAAGGAACCTTTCAATCTGCTAACATTTGGAAATTAATGTGTAAGTAAATTCCTAGTAAGAAACCTATCAAAACATGGTATTTTAAAATTTTCGCGGTTAAAATAAACAGCCACTACTTAAGGCCAACAAAATCTCTACATTGCAATTATTCGGTATTGGAATTTTTAATTCAAAATTACAAGAAATGAGAAGAAAAAAAATTATGCAAGTTTTTTTAAAAAAAATTTGGAGAAGGAAAAAAAGTTATGCAATTTTGTTTTTTTTTTTATTTAGAGAAAAAAATAATTTATGCAAGTTTTTTTCTTATTCGGAATAGGATGGCTTTTACATATTATCCATAAAAAAAGGGAGAAAATAAAGAAAATTAATTACAAGAAATGTTAAAATTTTATATAAGGGTATTATCGGTAATTATAAAGATTTTGCTCTTTATATAACAAAATAGCTCTGTATTTATCAATATCATATCATATGAAGCATTTGAATTTCATTCCAACAAGATTTGGTCGTTAAAAACTTAAAATACTAGTACTACATATTTCAAATAATTTTGTCCAAGTTTTTTTTTTTAATATACACCGTGGAAGTCTTTTTAATATACAAGGTGGAAGTCTAACGCCTTGAGTACAAAACATCCCTCTAACACTAGAAAAGGGGTTACACTATCAGCCTTCAAAAGATCTAATAGTTAATACGTGTGGACAAAATTTGCCTTCGGTAAAGACAAGAAAAGCCAAATTTTGCCAATGGATCCGTCACACGATTTTGATCCCGGCTGACTGAGGTTTAGCAAACCTCTAATTCTACAAAAGATGTTATTATTTATTTTGGCGCTATCTATATTTGATAAAGATTGTACTGTTTATCTATATATTTTACTAATAGAAAACCTAAAGAGAATAAACTAATGTAATTTTCCGCTTGTCACGTAGGACTGCAATTTTCTCCAATTTTTAATTTATTTAAAAAGACAAAAACCTACACAGTTTATTAAATATATATAACGTATCTCTGTTTATTGTTTTATTATTATGCTTTCCACATTTAAATGTCATTACATCAAATATAATCTGATTCCACTTATTCATATGCGTAACGTATCAAATTTTAATTGATCAACTTTGAATTTGGAACAAATCCCTACAATTTCTCAACTTATACAATAAATATTATGATCCAAATCCTACTCTCCCTAACCTTCTCTCTTATTCTCTCACAATCATTTTCGGACTTCAAAAATTTTCAGGTTACTATTATCCTGATTCGACTGGATCGAAGGTGAAGAACAACTGTAAAATTAATATTGGTTTACTCCAAGTTTGGAAGCGAACTTTTCCAAAATTTAGGTGATGGTTCGTGCCTTCACACTCTCTTAATGAATGGAAAGACACAAACAAACCAGAAAGTAACAATTGTGATTGCAACACTTCTCTTCGTTTGCGGTATGGTGTCGTTATTTTAATTTCCCAGTCATCTTTGTTGCTGATTGCTGAAACACAAATGTCATGGTTTCACATTTCCGGCAAATTTTAAGTTTAAGAGTCATTGCTGATAACGAAAAATGAAATAACATAAAAATTGTATATAAAACATCTAATTGTTACCATTAATTAATTTGTTGTAATCAGTTTGACAAACTTGACGTAATTGTGTTTGATTTCATGGATTCAAATCGATCAATATCATCGGGTTTTTTTTTGTTTTTTTGTTTTTTTTTTTTTTTTGTGGGAGGGGGGTGTGGGTTAGGGTAGAATAAAAAAATTTCTTTTTGGCTACAAAGGGTTTTTAGATTGCATGGAAATTATTTTTCATTTCCATTGCAGAAATTTGCTCAAGTTTGAAGTTTATTTTGATGCATGGAAAAAGTAGTATCATATCTATATCTAACATTTTTATTTGCATGCAAAATTCTAAAAATAATACAACATTCATTTTTTAAAAAATTTTTTAAAATTTCTATTAATATTTGTCTACCCCCGTCGTACGGCTTTAACATCTAGTATTATCTAATTCCAAGATAATATTACGGAAACCAAGTTCGCAGGCAATTTGGAGACCGAGATATGCACCCCCAAAATTCAGCTTCAAAGGTACTGCAGAAGCCTAGATTAGCTGCGAAACCCATTATCTATATTCGCTTCTGTACAAGTTTCAATATTCACAATTGGATCCCCTCTAACGCCGCCAGACCATCGCCCGCGGTTGCCAGCCGGCCGAATCGTTGTTGGGCTCAAAGCCTCGGAATCATTTTCACCAAGCATGATAAAGGGCAGGTATATTAGAACGGACACAATAATAAGAAGCAAATCAAATGAAGGGACTCGTGATAATGCAGAAATAAAAATGGCAGGCCCAATGAAAAAGGCTCACTTGAACTCTGATATTGCTGAAACTCTAATTTGTTTGTGTGACACTTTACTGTTACACTGGTTTCTATGAACTATGAACTCCACATAAGTTTGGAAGTATTATCATAAGAAGTAACCCTGGAGAGCAAACAAATCTTTGTCGTAAGGCTTTAGCAGAATCATCCAGAAATCTTTCATCAGTACCATAATTTGGATCTGTTGAGGAAACAAAGAATTACCGGATTCATTGCATCAAGAAAGGAGACAGCAGGGGTTGGTTTGAGAAGAAGGCATCCAAATTCCCAACTATGAGTTCATACGAATCCCTGAATGATTCCTCTGTATACACAGCGAAATGAGGTGACAACACAACATTGTCCAATTCAAGGATCTCAGGTGGAACATGGGGTTCGTTTTCCAGAACATCCAATCCTGCACCGGCAATTCTTCCACCTTGCAAAAATCGCACAAGTTCTTTTTGATCAATGATAGCTCCCCGAGCAACGTTTATGATCACACCTTGATTTCCAAGCGCCTCGAGAACATCCTTGGTGATCAGATGATAAGTTTGATCATTCAGCGCACAGCAGAGTATAAGAATGTCACTCTTCGCAGCTAGTTCGCGGGCATCAGAGTAAAATGGGTAGGAGACAGAAGATTTCATGTTCCTTGATTGGTATGAGATTTTGCAGTCAAAGGCCTCGAGTCTCTTTGCAACTTCTTGGCCGATGCTCCCTAACCCAACAATCCCGACTCGCTTGTGTGACAACTGCAACAAGCAGTAATCTGTCAGCAAACCTGAGTTGACACCAAATCACTATAGAGAAGAATTCCCAGGCAGAATAACTTCCTTTCTGTTGCTTAAAATTTTACTTTATATTTGCAGTTCCCAACACAGATTCACAAATTCCATAAAGTTAGGTAAACCCTCTAAATATTTTTATGTAAGCGACAGCTAGTTTAAGGCCGAATCCGACATGAAATGTAGGATTTGAATGAACATGCATCACAATGAGACATTATCTTTTGCAGAATACGAAAGCCAAAGCACAGCAAACGAGGTGCTCACAATTAACACACAACATTCTCTCAAAATGACAAGGGTCAGTCCTCAAATGAACAAAACAGGTTAGATCAAGAATCTACTACATTGATATCAATATAAGTCAGATCAAGAATGCCATTGTTCCCTAACTTACAAGGGCTTTACAAATAAGGAAAGAAACAAATATCATCTGTCTTTACATTTTGAAATATGAAGCCTTCTAAGAACCTGAAAAACTTTTCTTATTTTAGCCATATAAACTTGGCGGTTAGGCAGTTATCATGATCAGCCAGAGTTGAACAGTGGAGGACAAGAATTTCTGGTTAAATTCAGAGGAGCTTAGCCATCAGCCCTAGAGTTTAGTTCTGATCCTTGAAGGAGGATTATGTCACAAGTGTCTTTTTGGGTACAACTGAAATCTGGGCTCAATGCAGACAAGCTAGATGATGGGTTGACTGCAATCAGAAATTTCATAGTAGTTGGCTTGAAGAATCAATCACCAACAATAAAAAGATATCTAAGTTCATTATTTCTCTAACCTATCTACTACTTCTTCATTAGAAGATTTTAATAACATATCCAATGAAATCAAGTGCAGAACAGCTAATTGGAATGATTAGTAACGAAAATTCGAGCTAGTAGCAGCTAAACCTGAGAATTACTACATTTTAAGAAGCACTCTTTCAGTAGAGAAATCAACACTAAAGCATTCAACAAAAGTACAAAAAGGAAAACAAATTAAGACGAGACACTGTAACACAAAAGAAAAAGGGGAAGACCTTGGTGGCAAGAGGATAGGAACCTTCAATTGACTTAGCCTGCCAGATCCCACTTTTCACGAATCGATTAGCTGCCGTAATCCTCCTCAGCACATCGATCAGCAACCCAACCGCCAAGTCGGCGACATCCGGCGAGAATATGGTGGAGGCGTACGCCACCGCAATGCCACGGCAGCGACACTCTTGGACGTCAATGTGGTCCAGGCCAACAGCAGAGCTCACAACAACGCCAAGGGACGGTAAATGGTCGAGAATTTCGGATCCGAGGTACTTGAAACTACCGCCACAAACCGCGGCTCTTGTCTTCTGGGCGTGGGTTTGTAGGAATTGTTGCAGAGGAAGGGGAGATTGCCATGGTTTAAGGATTCGGAACTTATCATCGAATAGTTTCTCGTATTCTGTTCTGAAAATATCAGGTGGCCCCAGAACTATGACTTCTGGTGGAGAATGAACATCTTCATCCATGATTATCTCTCTCTCAACTCCAAAGACTTCTCTTTTATGGATGACGTTTCTCTGTTTGAGGTGAGAAACTTATTATCTTATCTACTTTTTGTTAGAATTGGCTGAAAATAAAAGTTGAATAACAATCAAGAATTCCATTAGGGAAATAATAGTATCGATCTTATGGGAGTGTTAATATAGTTTTATTACTTCAAGACCACAGGAGAAATCAGGGGCTGGTCTGAGAAGAAAGCTTCTAAATTTGAAACTATGAGCTCGTACATTTCCCTAAAAGATTCCTCTGTTAAGGCAGCATAATGAGGAGACAACACAACATTGTCCAGTCCACAGAGTTCAGAAGGAACATTTGGCTCATCTTCGAAAACATCCAATCCCGCACCTGCGATTCTTCCTTCTTGCAGAAACTGCACAAGTTCCTTCTCATCGATAACAGGTCCACGTGCAATGTTAATGATTACGCCTTGTTTTCCCAGCGCCTCGAGAACTTCCTTATTGATCAGATGATAAGTTTGATCGTTCAACGCGCAGCAGACAACAAGAATGTCGCAATTCGCTGCTAATTCACGGACACCATCGTAAAACGGGTAGGAAACAGAACACTTCTTGGTCCTTGATTGGTACGAGATTTTGCAGTCAAAGGCCTCGAGTCTCTTAGCGACTTCTTGGCCGATGCTTCCTAATCCAACAATCCCGACTCGCTTGTGCGACAGCTGCAACCACAGTAATTGAACAGTGATGACATCTTGAGAAGGCAGATAAAGGCATTTTACCCGAACCACTATATCAAACTATCAAAGAATAGGAGTCGATCAACATCACTCTGACAACATTATTACACTATATTGCCAATTCTGTTGGTGAACCTTTGTTCAATATCTTGAAATGAAGGTTATATCAATGCGATTTTCTCTTGAAATGAAGGTTACTATCTCTGATATTTGAAGGAAGGTCATATAACACAAGCCTAATTAGCTCCAATGTGGATACTTTACCCGGTAAGCTGATCATTAGCATATATTATACAGTAGTAGGAGAATCAATCACCAGCTAGCTCTCTGCCTTTGTCTCTCTCTGTAACTAGTCTCTAACTCATTATCTGTCTCATTCATCTCAAACCTTAAATTCTTCAACTAGCGATTTATTTGACATAATGACATGTACAATGATATCAAAACGCATACTCCATAAAATTCAGCCTGACATAAACGACCTTAGTTAAAACAGCTGAATCTAAATGACTAGTTCAAGTTTTGATATATTTCCAACCCTTCTTCTGTACGCAAATTGATCTTTTGAAGGAGAACAAAGAAGAGAGTTGACATTGAACTCTCTTCCCTTCTCGAAGAATTAGCATAAATCAAACACAACAAGTGTTGACTTTGAAAGACACTTAACTGAAAAAACACCGATTTCAATACCAAATTATACAGCAGAATGTACAACAAACCAAAGTAATTAGGAGCAAGAGAGAAAGAGAGGAAGACCTTGGTGGCGAGGGGATAGGATTCATCAACCGGCTGAACTGGCCAAAGCCCACTCTTCACGAAGCGATCAGCGGCACCGATTTTCCTGAGCACATCAATCAGCAACCCAACTGCCATGTCAGCAACATCCGCCGAGAAAATGGTGCCGGCGTACGCCACCGCGATGTCCCGGCGGCGACACTCCTGAAGGTCAATATGGTCAAGGCCGGCGCTGGAGGTCACGACGAGGCGGAGCGACGGCAGGAGATCGAGTGTTTCGGCTCCGAGGTACTTGAAGGCACCGGAACAAATCAAGGCTCTGGTATTTCGGGCATGGGTTCGGAGGAATTGCTGCAGAGGAAGCGGAGATTCCCATGGTTTAAGGACCCGGAACTTCTCACTCAATTGTTTCTCGTATTTTGTTCGGAGAATAATAGGTGGCCCCAATGCTAAAACTTCCGACGGCGGAGCAACACCGTCTGCCATGATTTTTCCTTCTCCCCTAGCTCGTCCTGAGAATGGGCATCCAGTCACCAGATTTTATAATATCATAAATAGCGAAACCCATCTTGAGATTTTTTGGCCCTTTCCTATGGCACATTACATAAAAAAATTCACTTGTGTCTTTCTCAAGTTGATCAGGACACTCTGTTTTTTTTCTATAACAAACAAAAACTCAGGAAACAAGATAACTGCCCTGCAATATTTTATGATAATCAACCAAATTTATCCGTGAATGAACCAGTTAACTGAATGAATCTGATTTCCTCTTTGTGCAGGTTGGAAGAGAGTAGAAAACTGCCATACCACCTATCCATCTGCAGCCCAGCTAAAGTAGAAGAAGACTGCTGTACAGATGATAGACATTGGCGTAGAAAAGTTGTCAAAAAGGAAGGAAGATATCTCATCATGGGAATCGCCAATAGATTTCATCATCATCAAATTATGTGAATTCTCAGTATAACTAAGGGAAAAATTCATTGCCATCGCAAAGATTTACTCGTTCAAAGTTTCATCCTGCATAATATATTCCTTAGCTGCTACGAGACAATGCAACTAAAAGCTCAGTTCAAATCACTGCCAACGTATCTGTTAAGACTGTATTATGATTTACATATATTTCCTTCAAGTCCAGCAAATTGCATTAGAAGAGATAAAAAGGAGCCCATAATTGGTAGGACGCAACACACAGACGACTTGTCATATACAGGGGAAATCTCAGAGAATATACAAGTGGGCAGAATGAAATGTTACATTCAAGATTGGCTATAGGCCTATAACTACAAACTCACGAAGGAACATATGGTTCGAAGAGTTTCACGCATGGATTTGGATCATGTTGTATGATTTCAGCTGCTCGCTCAAACTCTTCCCTAAGAACTCTAATGCTGCGTTTGTCAACCACTCGCCCGAGATCATGAGATATTTCAAATGGATCCTCGATGCATATTAGGTGGCGATCATTCCCAATCCGCCGGGTCCAATCTTTGGCACGTTTGCTGCACACAAAAACAAGCTGTGCGATCAAACACTTGCAATACATTTTCTAAAAGTCAAAAAGCTAGTCCCCTAAGAAAACCAGGATATCTCACCTCAAAATAGTTCCTGTTCGAACAGAAATAACATCATTTGCATAATCGTGACGATAGGCCCAATAGTTGAAGAAACCCCATACCAGCTGTGCAATACCCTCACGATTGTGGGATCCAAATCCCAGGAGGTTTTCTACTTGATCAAAATAGGAACAATCCACATCGTCTACTGTTATAGAATAGGTAGGTTTCATCCCCTGAGAAAGAACAAGTTAAGCATGTAATCACAATTCGAGAAGCCAAAATAATAGGAGTCCTCGATCTACGCCTATCAAACCATTTGATGACTAATGACCAAATACTATCCATCGTTAAACACCATCAGGAAGAAGTAGATAAAAAAAACTTTATATATATATATATGGAAAATTCTAGAGTCCCGTTCTTGTTTTTAACGGAACCATTTCGTAAAAAATTTGTCCAATCAAAATTAACGGTACATGTATTGGTGGGGCAAGAAATATTGTAACAAACCTATATCGATGTTTATATATCCCTCAAAAAGAAAATATCAATCTTTAAAAATATCAGACGTGTGAAACATGTTCTTCCCCTCCAGCCAAGCTTTAGGCGGTCATCAACGGAGTCATTATGTCTCCCCAGAAGACGGCCAATTCATTAGCGGCGGTGGACATGTCAGCAAAAACGCCATCTCCCAGCCCAAGCCAGAGCCGAAGCTCAAGCCGGATGCCAAGCCCAATTGCCAAGGTCGACGATGCCGCGACCACCGTGACTGCAACTGCAAATGGCATGACATCATCTGACGGGGACGCATCGACCCACAAACCGGCGAGGCTGCTGTTCGACCTGAACCAATTACTGGACTTGGAATTGAGAAGATTGGGTTGGGGGCTGACCCGAAAGAGAGTCCATTGCCCACAAAGAACCCGTGTTTGTCCACTCTGGTGAGTTTGTTAGCTATCTAAGATTTGATTTGATTTGATTAACCCTACAAGTCAAATTGATTAGTAATGATTCACCTTTGTTAATTCTTTCAGTTTTTCTTGTTAGGCAGTAGTAGTACTTGTGATTTCATAATGGCTTTTGTTACTGATAGATTTCTAGACAGGGTAGGCTATTCTCTGTTCATTAACTCTCTTCATTAGTGAAATTCGGCGGCGAGGGGGGGTTGTTGTTGGTAGAATTGGAAATTTGGATGATGGTTGAATCGTGATTAAGACTTATGAGGGTTTTGGTTTTGGGGTTGGGTTTTTTTTTTTCCCTTTTCTTTTGTGGTTTGGAAAAAAATAAATAATAATAATGATAATCCTATTGAACTTCATCACTTTGACCTGAAGTTGAGATGACATCAGCATCTGGTGTCAATTTCCGATGAGAAAAGTCTATTTGGTTAGTCAAATGTCAGGAGGTATTAGTAATATGATCAAAACTCAGGGTTTAATTTGTTACGAGACCAAAACTCAGGGGGTAAATTTTAGTTTGCCTAATTTTTTCTGTTTAATCAGGTAGATTTAGGTATATTTACTTATAATACACCCTCATTTTAATCCTACGGTTGTTAATTATCCTAATTAATCCTACGGTTATTATTCTACAACGGAACCGTCCCGTAAGGGGACTCTAGCCGCTCCCTATGTGTATATATATATATAATATATATATATATATATATATATACATACACACACATGTATATATATATGTATATATATAAATTTAAAAAAAATTCCTTCCAAACTAATCAGCTTAACCAAGTACGTAGCGTAGTAGCCTCATTAACAATTCACCAAGCACATGAAACATACTAAGAAGCATGCCTACTGCAAATGCTGAAAAACATCGCCTGCTTCACTTTTAAGTAACAACGAGCAAAGAAATATACCTGTAGACATGGAAGAATGGCGGGTCGACGATGTTGTAAAAAGTGAATGCACATTAACACGTACCTGAAAGGAAAACATTTCAATCAGAAAATGGTGATTAAATTACAAACAGAAGAATTAAAGTAGTACAAGTTCACTCACGCATAGCTGGAGAGTGTCCCTTGGTAAGTTTCATTTACTCCTCTTGACTTGGCCCAATGTTTCACAAGAAAGGCTAACTGCCGCAACCTTGTGTCTATTTGTGCATAATCCCGAAGTAATTTTGTATTAACAACGGCTAGTACATTGTTTACGCATATATCACAAGAAATCCCAGTTGTAGGATCCATAAGCTTCACAATTGGCACTCTGGCACGAGTTAGTGCCTGGAAAGAAACTCATATCAAATTTCAGCACAAGAATTTATATATTGAAGTTATCAACCCATATATTAATATATTATTGCAGTAGAATTTCAGAAATCCATAGGATGTAAAATCTACATAAAAATATACAAAAAAAAAAACAGGAAAATAGATCTTGAACCTGCACATTCTGAAGGTTTTCTGACTGCAACATATCAGCTAGCCTTAACAACACGTCAGACTTGTTGATTTCCGCATCATCAATAGTGAGGCAAACATCAAGGTCACTTTTGGGAAACCCAAAAGAGTTAGCACAAGATCCATAAAGGAATAAGCGAGCTTCTGGCCATTCTTTGCAAACAACTCTCTCCAATAATGTTAATAATTGCTTTTGCTTTGCCTTTTCCTCCTCTGCAGGTATCAATGACTCATAAATAGCAAGAAAAGATGCATTCCACGTTTCTATGTCACCACGACATGCAACTTGACTTCTCAATTGCCTCATCCTCTGAGCCATCAACCACTTTCCTCTTTTGTCGGATCTATACTCCTGAAAAATAAAAATAAAAAATAAAAAAAAAAATCAAGAAACTCCTCTGCCTATGGAAGTAAATGCGAAAAGAAAAGGTGTAAAAAGAACTAATATAAATCAGATTCATGATCAACATAGAAAATAAACATCGTGCAGTTCACTTGATTAAAAATGATAAACCTCAACGAAATGGTAACCAAATTAAATCCATGATTAAAAAATTACACAGATTCTCACAGTATAACTGTTCCAGAAGCTTTGTCAAACCAGTCCTCAACAAGCTTGCTGGAATTTTTTTAAAAAAAAAAAATTACACAACAATTTAAGAAATCCATCGTGCTCTCTGAAATTTAATATGGCAATCTCAGGTAGTGTAAAAACTACAGCTGGATTCCATATGAGGCATAACCGTAAGAGTTACATTGAACAAGCTCAGCCATTTAAATTGTCTCCAATTTCCAAATACACGCCTTCTTGTAACTAATATATTGATTAGGTAAATGAAAAATATTTTGTTTGTGGCATATCATTACCACAGAAGACAAGCTCTTAAAACAATTACAATATACCTCCGCATCACATAATAGTGTCAAAACAGTCTCTGGGAAAACAGACCTTCAGATGCCCCAATTAGACACGTAGAACTATATAAATCACTAACTAATAAAAAGGACATGACTTATTTATTTAAATTTCTGGTGGTGGTGCTTGTTGTTTACTATGGCAAACAAAGGAAGCCAAGGTTTTAACAGAAATGCTGAGCACCAATCCAGACGTGGAGATTGTTCTAAATGTGATCTACAACCTAAGAACTTAAAAATGCAATGTGTGAATGGAAGATGGAAGACCACATGATCCACTAAAAGGTACCATATTCAACTATAGCACCTGAAATGCAACTATAGAAGTTAGAAACATGCTGCTATTGTAACAATAAAACAAAACAGAGCAATCAAACATAAGTCCTCAATGAAAGAGAAGAATATTAATGAACATCATTTTATGCTTTCCCGTCCTCTACATTGTATTTCATCTTCTAAATTCTCTCAAACCTATCCAACAAAAAAATCGTAACAGACACATCCAGAAAAAGAGCACCCCATACCACTATGCTTCATCCTCAACCGGACACATTGAGATGCTATTAAGTAAAGGTATTAGCTTTGTGAAACATAAATTAATTCATAACTAACAGCTAGAGCGAATAAATACAACTGAATGCAATAGTGGCACAACAATGATACTATGATTAGCAAAATTTATTGCAATGAATCAAAAATAGTTCCCAAAATATTTTCCTTCAAGAGAAGAATTGCTCCTACTTGGTTGGGACTAACAAGTGAGAGACTCTTTTTTAATACAAAGATTGCAAGCAATATACATAAACTAAAATAATAGTGAAAATAAATGTGGTAGCAGCTTTCTCATACTTACCTTGTCTCGCGGTTTCTTTTGATCACTTTTATCATCCGATTCATCTTCAAGACGTACAAGATCCAAAAGTTGTTCCTCCAAGTCATCCAAATCAGTGTCTCCACGAGCATCTTCTTTCAGCCTATCCCCTGTCCCACTATTGATTTCTTTGCTTATAGCGCCATAATCAGCATGCGTTGCCATCATAGAATGCTCAATATCAGAAGCAGAAGCTGAATGCAGTTTAGCCCCAGCTGGAGGGCCAGGCTGATCAAGCTGGCGGCCCAATCCTCTGCCATCAACGGATGACACTCTCCTCCCCATCTCACCCTTGCCGCTTTGATACCTCTCAAAAATCTCCATATTACCGTTGTACTCTCCATTTCCCCCATTGATCTGCTGACGAGTAAATCCTGGAGGAGGCACCACAGCCCTATGACTACCAATATTATGCTCTTGTCTACCAACCTGACGAGTCCCTCTCCTAGTATTATCACTACCTTCCAGGCCATCGCCCTTAACTATCTTAGAAGTAGCCATATGGTTCCGAGCAGTTGAACCTTGCTGAAAATTAACTCTAAAATCCTTCACTCTCCCAATGTCCTCTAAACTCACTTCTCTTCTGTGCTCCCTCATATTTGAAATGTCCATATATCCCTTATCCACCAGAGATCGCGAAAAATTAGCATTCTTCTTATCCTCCAAAGATGCTAGAAAGTCATTGCCATAATTACCGTTAACCGGGCTCTCCCCGGCCCTGAGGGACCCGAAAACGAGATCTTTTGCATCATGCTGGTGAAGTGAGCTAGCACTAGAATTGCTGCCAAACAAACCCAAGTTCCTAGCATCATCCCAGGATAAATTGTTATTGAATTGCGCGTTATTGAGCTGAAAATTGCCTTGATTGATCCCCGGTGGAGAGGCGGTGGGGAAAAGCTGGCTGAGATTAGGGTTGGGATTATTAGGGTTTGGGTTTTGGAAGAAGTAAGCATGCGGGGCAAAAGGGGGAGAAGACTGATGGAGGTGCTGTTGATGGGTCCAATGAGGTGGATTAACGCCATTGGACGGAAAGAGTTGCTGGGGGAAAGGAATAGGAACTGTGGCGCCAAAAGAGGCAACGGCGGGATCTTGACCGAGAATCTGAGTCGTCGGCGGCGGCGGCGGTTGTGCTGATGGCTGCGATTGGTGAAGATGGGAAGACTTGTGGGCAGGCCTCTTTAGGAGTTGGAGAAGGAATTCTCCGCCGTCCACCGGCGGCGGTGCTTCGCCTCCACCGCCGGTCATTATTCCACTACTCTCACTGGGATTTTTCTTCCTCGAGTAGCTAAAATCCGAATGAAATACAGATTAATTGAAAGATTTTGGGGGAAAAAAAATTACATCTGATGCATCAATGCACCGCCGAGTAGATCGGAAGATAGAATATCGAGGATTTGATGTTTTATTTTGGCGGTCGGATCAGAGGATTATTATCAATCTAGTTCTAGTGTACTTGTTTTTACTTCTTACGAGGTTTTTCATTTGATCTACAGCGTCCAGTTTTTCTTGTTTCTATTCAACTTCCAATGGTTATTGGTTTTTCTTTTTTTCTTTTTTTTTTTGTAAAAAAAAAAACTTTTTGAATTTCTGGGTAATAGATAAATTTGATTTACTCCTTTATGAAGCGCATTTATTTTTATTGGATATTTTATCTCTTTCAAACTTTGTCAATTTCATCCATATTCTTGAATCCAATTTCAATTGTTTTCTCAATCGAAATTTTATAAAAGATGAATATGAAATATATTATGATGATAACATATTTTAAAGTTATAAATACCGCTACAATAAAGAATTTTGTTATTTAAAATGCAATAATAATTAATTTTATTATTTACAGTGCAGTTTTTTCTAGATTAATTTTAAATAATAATTAATCGATGAGATACAATTGTACTCAACCAAGATAATTCGTAAATATTAAAATCGTGTATAATATTTTCCGTTTTATATCAATAAAAACTATTCTTATCATATATGATTCCCACGAGTTAGTTAATGTCGTCGAGACAATAAGTAATTGAGCGACTTTCTTAATCTACACTCATTTTATATATTACTGGAGAATAATAAGTGGTACTAATTGTTAAGAAAATATATTAGAGAATTCGTTCAAGTTATAATTTGGTTTCATAAATTAATTATAAAAAAAAAAGGTGAAGGTAGGCATCTTCAAAATAATACTCTTATTATGAAGGACATATAGAGTTTTTTTTTTCTTTGACTGAAAGAGGTATATAGAAAACTAGGTAAGAAGAACATCTTCAACAATTGTATACACTATTTTAGTGTATAACCACCCAATTAGAGATTAATACTGTATTATATTTTTTGGCATCATGTGTATTTTTCTTATTCGCAAAATTAACATCATCCTCTAAAATCTAAATGGACATCTGGTTACACAAATGGAAGTGGTAGTGCACTGAATATTTTCTCAGCTAGGTCGGTAAATCAGATGAATCGAATAGCAAGTGCACTGAAGTGGTAGGCGAAGACAAGCGTACAAGGTACAACAATCTGTACAAGTATTCACTAGAATTTGCAAGTGGACTTCAAGTAGTTGATAAAACAGATGAATCGAATTGATGAAAGAGTCATCCATTAACAAAAATTAAGCCCAAAATTAGATGAACAACCAACATAACTTATTAAAAAGCTCTGATTTAGCATACTCCAAGTTCTGGTATCCATCAAAACTCTAATCCAGAGTACCATATTAATCGGTTTTTTTTTTTTCTAAGAAAAAAAAAAGGAGAAATTGGTCACATTAGACAAATTCTTTGATAAAATTAACAATGGCTGCAGCCCTTCGAGTATCGATCATTTCAATTCCATGGAATCCAACATCGTCAAATCTGGCTTCAACTAACACCCCTTGCTTCACCAGAATCTGCACCAAATCTTGTTGTCTTTCGATCAAAGGATCACCTCCAAAACCAATAACCAAACTCCTCCCAAGCGACTTGATTTTCTCTTTGTAAGCGCCATCAACAAATGGATTGCAATACCTATGATCTCGATCAGCCCCTTTAGGCAATGCAAGCTCCCAAAGAAGATCAATCACCGGCAACGGGAAGTATTGGTCGGTGGCGAGTTTCAACTCCGATTTCGTCCTTTTCTTCCCGCCGAAAAAGGGCTGGTTCATTATCACCCCGGCGATCTTAATCGGGTCGAGTTTTGTGTCACTTAATCGCAATGCAGCATTAAAAGCAATATTTGCTCCGCAACTTATACCATAGAGATAACACCTTGAAAAATCGCCATAGTCTTTGAGCCATTTGTCACCATTGTTTCCATCCAAAGCTTGATCCTTAACCCAATTCACTGCCTCAACCGCATCCTCGTATTGTGCCGGAAGCCGGCTTTCCGGGGCTAAACGGTATTCAACCCCGACCACAATTGCCGGAACCTCACTAGAGAGCTTATTGAGACTTTCATGGATCACGGTTTGACCAACGCTGAGCTGAATCCATCCACCACCGTGGAAGTATATTATGATGGGAAGCCTCGCGACGGACTTGTCGTTGGACGGCAATTTCATCGGCCGGTAAACTCTCATCCAGGTTTTGTGGCCGGAATTCAAGACGACATCTTTGCTGACTGCTGATTGGCCCATAACCTCTGCCTTTTCCTCTGTTGCTGGAGTTGTGGGAAGCTTAACATAACGAGTGAGTGAACCATCATGGTTCAGTTGAACATTGAGGTGATCGTAGGCATCGAATTTCGACATGGTTAAGGAAAGATCATAAGAATGTTTACTGGGAAAAAAATTGTAGAAGAGACCAGATTCTTTTAAGTTCAGTTTTTTTTTTTTTTTTTTTTGAGTTCCTCTATATATTTTTGGTGCCCATTAGATCACGAAACATTGAAAACTGAGACGGTTGGCTATCCTTAATCCTAGGATATTCCGAAGCTGGGAGACATGGAAAATGAAATGAAATCGAATGTTGTTGAACTGTTTAAGCCTCCTCATTCACGTAGAGTTTTACTTGTTCTAACTTTCAGATCCAATATTTTCTCCCCTTATTAAGCAAGTCTCGAGTTTGAGTTTCTAAAATCTGTCGAATTAATTTAAGCTGGCGTACGGAGATATGTTATATTCTTCTTGGGTCTCTCAATTAACCACCCAACTATATTGTCATAAGTTAGTTAGATTAAGGGTCATTGTTTATTTAAAAAAATTCTTTTTACTAGTAAATTTATACTGTCTGCTCCCATAATTGTTGTCTAGTTTAGATGTTCAGTTTTAAGTACAAATTAAATTAAAAATGAAAACACAATCTGAGGTACTTAATTAGGCCATTATTTTCAAATGTGGGTGTGAATTGTACTTCCAGTTCAGCGTTCCAAAACTAATGTTACTCTTCTCAAAACAGAAGAAGTGTTTGGAAGCCTCAGAAGATCAAAATATGGACTTTAGGGTGATGCTCTAACTCTGAAGTTAAACTTGGTGCACGATCTCGGAAGCTTCTAAATTGGTTCCATTCATCGGCAATATGATGTTTAGAGCTTTTTTTCTGCAATTACGTCTACAACTTTTTCGCTTTTTATTGTTGTTTCCCTTGAGTTGATGATTATAGCGCGTGCGTATATAATAACATATTACTACCTCTTTTTTTTTTTTATCTGTCGTTTCAGGGTGAACCCAAAATATTTTTTTATCTGTCGCACTTCATTTCTAACGCAACATTAAATACCATTTTTCCAATTTTACCCTTATCTATCTCTATTTTTAATAACATATATTAATGACAATTTCTCACTTTTTAATTTTTATTTTAAATTTTTTAAAGTTCTAATACTTTTTAATTAGGGACAAGAAAAACAATATCCTTATAAATTAAATTCTCAATCATTATTTTTAAATAGTTGAGTAAACTCTAAAATAACAGATAAAAAAAAACGGGGAGGTTGTAAGAACAACAAAGTCCACAAACAAAGTTATGGCCCAAAAAAAGCTTTGGAGTTGTGACCAAATAACACGTTGTGTTGAACACCACCCACGTTTGCTCATTCAGTCAGTTTCATCTATTTAATGCTTAAAACTAACGAATACCACCAACAATGGAAACAACCCATGTTTGTCATTTTCTCAATATGGTTTTGAGTTCGAGTATGTATATATTGATGAAAATATTGTTACGGAATCTTTTTTACTGAAAAAAAAAAATCAACGCAAAGTCGATTTAAAATTAAACTACAGAAAGATATTCACTTAAAATCATTTCATTCATCTACTTGGAACACTTGATCTTCTTTATCGTGAATATGTTAAAGATGAAATACTGTTGTCATTTCTCAAATGAGAAGTAATCATGGTACAACACATATTTGTTTTCCATTATTATGCTGTTGTTAGGGTATTAGCCATAAAATGCCTATAGCGGTCATCATATCTTTAGAGTACTTTAACCAAAATAATTACATTCTCCTTAACTGATAAAACAAGACTTGTAAGGGAATGGATTATCGCCGCCGATTCTTAATAAATTTATACGAGTAAATAAACTGAACCTATGGCTATAAGTAGCTTAAAAAAGAAGAAAGTTAAGACTTGAAATTATCATGCTTTGCTTACTCTAATGTAATACTCAATTGAGACTTCTTTATTTTCAAAAGAACACGAAAAAGTGATATAAAAGTGATTAATGAGAATTTTTTTTTTACGTAAAATAAACATCCATGGATTGTTATTTTAATCAAATTTATACACTTTACAATAGCAATAATATATAGGGCTACCCATGCCAACCCCTAAACCGGTGAACTATTATATTAAAAAAAAAGAGTAGTATAAGTATAATTATTAACATAAGAGATAACTTCACTTGGAATGTACTCCAAATCTCCAAGTACCACACTACTACATCATCAACCAACCAGTTTTTCCACTTTTCATAAAGGGGGAAAAAAAAAAAGAAAAATGAAAGTAAACCATAATATAATAGGATTAACTTATTATGCATGCAAAATGTCCAAAAAAAAAAAAGGTAAAAAAAATGAACGAAATAAAATCCTTCGTCGGAGATTCGGAGGCATTTAATATCACCGAATGCCAGACTCCCGCGCACCGCATTAAATTACATAGCCGACTTTCCGGCGGCGTTAATTTCAGATGGGGCCGTCGCCGCCGCCTCCGACGAGGAGTTAACGAATTCCTTGATATCATCGTACAAAATTGCAGCCATTTTAGGGTCAAATATCTCAACAGCATGGTACCCTTCGTCAGTGAACACCGGCACCACCTCGACGCCGTTCTCCTCCAGCAACTTCGCCACCTCTTTCTGCCGGTCGACAAGAGGATCGCCGCCGTAGCCCCTGATCAAACACCTCGGGAACCGCCGGATCTTCTCCACGTGGGACCCCGCATGGTGCGCCACGTTGCTGAACTCGTGATCACGGTCGGCTCCCTCCGGCAACGCCAGATGCCACAGAAGCTCCGTCCCGTGGAGAGGTACGACCTTATCGTCAGCCAGCCGGAGCTCCGAATCCGACCACTGGACCCCGCCGAAGAAGGGCTCGTTCATAATCAGCCCAGCGAGTTTCATCGGCCCAAGATCAACATCTTGGGCCCGCAAGGCTACATGGTAGACCATATTCCCGCCGGCACTACTTCCCATCAAGAAAACCTTGGAGAAATCAGCCAGCTCCCGCAACCACGGATCACAACCCTCGCCGCCGTCGGCGGCGGAGGCCTGAGCTTTGGCCCAGTGGAGTGCGTCGATGGCGTCGTCGTAGGCGGCGGGGAGGCGGTGTTCTGGCGCAAGACGGTACTCCAAGGAAGCAACCAATGCGGGGACGTGGGAAGCCGTCCGGCCACATGAGCCGTGGAAGATGACGTCAGCTGCGCTGAAGAAAACGAAGCCGCCGCCGTGGAAGTAAATGATGAGCGGGAAGTTTGAGTTTGGAGGGGGGTTAATAACGGGTCGGAAGAGCCGGATAAAAGTGTTGTTTCTCGGGTTGAGAGGGATATCTTTGGAGAGATAAGGAAGGTCGGCTACTTCTGGGTTGGGGGGTACGGAAGGAAAGGGGGTTTTTCTTGTGAGGGAACCGTCTGGGTTGACCGAAATGTGGAAGAATTCGTAGGCTTCCTCCATGGATTGAGGCGTTCGGGTTATGGTTTGCTGATCAGCCATTTGGAAGAAGGCGGAGGAGATGAGGGCGGAGAGTGGTGGAGGAAGAAGAAGAGTAGTGGAGGAGGAAGAAGGAAAATAATGAATTTGTAAAGCTGAGGGGCTACGCTCCTTTGTCGAGAGGCGGTCAGGCTTGGTTGGTGAAAAATGCAATTAATGCATTAATAGCATCATGCCATCCAATTTGGTTGATGAATGTACGTAATAGTAGTATATATATCACTAGATCATTTCACGATACACCAAAATCTACCGGCATTTTAAGAGTTATTTTCAAAAAAATAAATAAAAATGAAGGCATGTAATTAAAACGGTAACTTTATTTGAAAAAAGTGATTTAACATCGATCATCACCTAGGAGTACCGACGTACTTTTTTTTTATCTGTTAATTGAGAACCACTTATTTTATGACAAGAAATTATATAAGTACAATGTGTACTTCAACTTTTTATTTAAATAAGGGAACTTATTTTTGGTGTAAACTGCAAAGCAGGTGAAGTATATTGTATTATGAGTTTAATTATGACTTCATATCTCATCGTTTGAGTTTGTACTTTAAGAACGAACTTTTGAATTTGCAGGTGGATTTTGTTACTTATAATATAATCACATTCATGATTACTATTAACATACTAATCTTCAAAACCCAGGAATGTGTACATTTTCTTGTTACGTGATTATCAGTTCTACATTACTTTTTTCTTTTCTTTCTTTTTTTCTTATCCTTATGTGTAGCTCATTTATATTATTTTCTCTGTTCTAAGAAAATAGTGCACAGTAATGTGGATCCCTCTAGAATTAGCATGCGCGTATCATCACGGTTAATCGGGAAATGTGAAAGGGAATTCAGTGCCATTTCTGGGATAGTCTTTCAACGTTATTTTTTTGGATATGTAAAAGGGAATTGACACAGGTGTTACATTTGGCAAAAATGAATTCAAGCATTTTCCTAATAACCGACCAAGATTGCTAGTGTCCTAAATTTTGACTCCTAAGATCTTATTATTGTTACGAGATACAAAAGCGGTAATGACGTCAGGCTAACAAAAGCAGTATCCATTAAACATCCTAGTGGTCTAAAAGTCCACCAGCCTAACACCGTTCGGCCCGGAACCTTACTATGTTGGGCCAAATCTTGTCTATAACCAAATTATTGGGAGTGAGCCCGAAATGCCTTTTAATCTCTGTTTAAGTGCTCATGCTCGACGGATATCAGAAAACTTAATTTTTGTTAAAAAAAATAAAAATATTCCTAGTTTTTTTTTAAAAAATATTTTGCATTGAGTTTTAAAATTTGTAGTTAGTTTGAATTTTCACATTTGATATAGGCAATAAATGTGAAAATCCAAACCCGACAATCATTTCCGGACTGAGGTAAGTTTTTTATCTAGAAAAAAAAAAACATTGGGTAAACTGTAAAGTAGCATATCTCTTGAGCATAGATAACCTCACGATCTAAGGAGAGAACCGGTCATTTTGGATCAGACAAGTCTATGATCAGAAATGGAGGACCATTCTTACATTCATTATCTGTGCCAAACAAACAATATGCAACCTCTAGGAAGTGACCTCAACAAATCTTTTCCCCCTTTCCGATTTTGCAACCTATGTTCCTCCAGGATAGATAAGCATACATTGCACTTGCTGATTTTCATATGAAACAAAAAACATACTCCCTCCTTCCCTATAAATAGGACGATTATTTTGAAACGGAAGGAGTACAAATGATATGCTGTTACACTACAAAGTTAATATGAACAAGGTTCCGTGGCACTTTATAGGTCAGATAACAATGAAGAGAACTAGAGAAATGCATCTTTCAGACCAAAGAATATGTTGTTTCCTATTGCAGATTGTTTGACAAGTATGGAAATTTCTTCTGTGCTTTAGCTGGATACCACATTATGTATTAATCAGTTCCAGCTATCATATATTAAGGATTGCTGTCAATTCTATAACGTGAGACTGTCTACACATATAATTAGTGAGAAGAATGTCTCCCAGATGGGACCAAATGGAAGATGATACAAATGTACAGTTCCATTTTCATTTGGTTTCAGCAAAGAATCAACCTCTTTCCAACAGCCAAAGATGGAGGATGCTTTTAAAGTGTTTTTGCGAACAACAATGGGGCCACGAATAAAAACATCAACCCTGAAATCAATGCTTACCAAGAGGCAAGAACAAATCTCACCTTACTTTTCCAATGTATAAAAAAGTTAGCCCTTTTGACTGTTCCAGGTGGCCTCACCACTTACAATGAAATATCAGGCACAATCACTCATCAGTTCTGTGTCTGACTTCTTTGCTTGGGATTCCTCAACTACAATCCTAACTACCTGTGGGAGCCCATAGTAAAAGAAAAAGATTGAGTCTTTAATCATTTTACTTTCCAGAAAGAGCAAATAAAAAACTTCCAAATCAATCAAACAAGCAAACATTTTGCAGTAAAGCTGATAATGCTGATAATGAAGAATGGGCAGGAACCGCAAGTACACATAATTATGAACTCACCTAGGTTTCTTCCGGGACTTGAAAGGGAAATGGCAAGGTGGTGACGGAGAAAATTCAAATGGCAAATGAGGAGGTTCAGATTCACCAGTAAGCATTCCCACAATCTCTTTGATTGTAGGGCGTTTATTAGGCGATCTTTGCAGGCACAAAAGTGCAATTGTGATGCAGAGTAACGACTGTTCTCTGTCCAACAACTGTATGTTTGAGTCAATAAGATCAAGAAGCCTTCCATTGTGGGCAAGCTGCCGAGCCCATGAAATCAAATTAGCCCTCTCGAATTCAGATATCGGCGAAGCCGTTACTTGCAGAGGCCTCCTGCCGGAGATTAGAACTAATAACAGAACACCAAAACTGTAAATGTCACATTTTTCAGACAGTTGACCTCCGCCACCATACTCAGGAGCAATGTAGCAAACAGTTCCTCTCATGCTAGGAGTACTACTAATGCCACCACTTTTTGGGATTTCTCCACTAGCCCAATCTTGACTGTTTCTTCTACCTAACCGGAATTCTCCACTGAATCCATCAAGCCACCAATCAATGCTTCCTCTACTACTCCTACTTTTCCTCTTCTTCTTGTCAGGCACCACACCATCATCATCATCATCATCATCATCTCTTTGCCACCACATCTCTCCTCCATTTTCTGATTTACCATTCCTTTTCTTCTTCTTCTTCTTCTTTTTAGCTAATTCGTCGCAGAACTCTTCCTTCCACCATTCTCTTGGTTTCCTGTTCTTCTTCTCCTTCCTATCTTTACCCTCATCCAGTGATGCCCACCACTCCAGTTTCTTCCTTTGCTTCTTTTGCTCTGGTTTAGGAACACCATCTTCACCTTTGCTGGAAGTTGCAATCCAATCCTTTTTAGGCCTCTCTTTCTTAATCTCACTCCCAAGCCACTCCATCACGTAGTCCTTAATCCGGCCAGATTCTGATCCCCCATTAACATTGTCCTGCTTCCACCACCAATCCCTCCGAGACTCGCATTTACCCCTTCCAATCCCTCTTCTGCTGCCACTATCCACACTAACTCTGTCAAAGAAACCCTCAGAAATACTACTAGTCTTATTATCAAGGCCTTCAGAAGGTGAAGCATCCGTTGCCCCATTTTCCCCATCCAAAATCTTAACACAGCAACTCTCAGGAGACTGATCCACATTCACCACCACCACATCCTCAGTTACAACACTCTCGTTTTCCTCAATTATAGATCGATTATCATCTCCATTCTCCATTCCACCCCCTTTCTTATCCTTGTAAATCTTCTCATCATCTTCTATGAAGCTCTCCCCAATCTCATTCTCCTCTTTACTCAAAACCTGGGCTAATCCAAAATCAGCTATCTTGGCATCAAAATTGGAATCCAACAAAATGTTAGAGGGTTTAATATCTCCATGGACAATCGGTGGATCACAAGAGTTATGAAGATACTCAATGCCCTTAGCTACAGCTAGAATAACACTAAATCTCTTCTTCCAAACCATCAATTCTGGACATTTGCGATCCAACAGAGCCTCCTGCAAATTCCCATTCTGCATGAACTCATAAACTAGGACTAATCTTCTCCTCCCCTGCTTACACCTCATGCTCGGCTCATCAGCTGAGAAGCCCAGAATGGAAACCACATGCCGGCAGCAGGCGGTATCGATCCTCGATGCCAGTGACAGTTCATTGTGGAACTCTCTCTCTCCTTGGAGTGAGCCGGTAGCATCCATTAGCTTGACGGCGACCTCCTGGCCGGAAGGAAGAACCCCTTTAAAAACAGACCCAAACCCACCTTGGCCAAGTCGGTTCCCCGGGGAGAACGATGAGGTGGCACGGCGGAGGACAGAGTAAGAGAATCGTTGAGGCTGAGCCGGCTTCAGATCCACCGGCGCAGTCCGCTTGTTAGACAGTTTCCGGTAGATAAAGGCAAATACAACAAAGAAAGAAAGCGCCACCGTCGCGGCCAGGATTGGCGGCAGGAGTGACGCATGGTGGCGGCGGCTTTGGTGATAAGTTATGAGGGGCGGGGTGGAGGCGGTGGCGGTGAGGTAATGGTCGGAAAATCCGGAAAGAAAGCCTCCGGCGGTGACAGTGACATAGTTGTGAAAATGTAAGAAGAAAGACGAGTGTGAATCTGTCAAAGAATCATCCTTTATTTTTTTTTTTTTTCTGCTACCCCTTTTGCAGAGAGATGCAAAATTGCAAATTGGCAAATGCTCTGCGGAAACAACTGTAGTGTGTGACTGTGTGTGTGAGAAGTGATGTCGCTGTTGGTTTGTTTGAGCTGAGAGGACTAGTCACACTAGTGTGTGACTGTGTGTTTTTTTTTCCCACTGAATATTTTTCTTTTAAAATATTACTTTATCCTTTCGTCCTCATTATAGACCACCTCTTCTTCTTCTTCTTGTTCTTCTTGCTTCTGAATTCTGATCTGGCTTTTAAGGCTTCCTCATGAAAATGTTCAACGTCAAGTCAAAGGCTTTGTTCACGAGGACAAAAGGCTGCTAATCAATCTTTTATTCCTTTTTGTACTAATCACTTTATCAATACTTACTATTATTGTTGCTTCACAATTAATCTTTCTCTTTTGTGTATAATCCCTTTGTTAAATCGAAGTGTTTATACTTTTAGAAGGAACAATCACATAATAAATAGATACTTATCATAATTTAATTAATTCCGTATATTCCGTATATGTAAGTGCACTCTATTTTTAGTGCTTATTAGTCACTCTTTTCTAAAATTATTGTTCAATTTCAGATTTCCCTTTTAGTACAATTTTTTTAAAAATTAAAAATTTAAACTAGATAATAATTTCAACAATATAATTAATTTTAATTTGAACGATGATTTTTTTTTTGAAAGAGAAAGAAAAAAATGAAATGACATACTCCGTGCAGGCTAGTTTAATTATACTATTATTAAAATGAAATGACATACTCCGTGCAGACAACTAACGAATAGTTGGGATTAAATAAAAATAGTTTTCATTAGGAAATTACTCTCTCCATTTTAAAATATAAGTCATTTTAGACTTTGCACGTATAATAAGGAGACAATCATCTAACAATTAATTTATGTGTTAAATATCTGTTTTACCCCTCATTAATTACATTGAAATTATAAATGAGAGTAAATGAAAATATATTGGCATCATTTATTGAGAATAAAGTTAGAAAAATAGTCATTAATTTGCCTAGAATCTGTAAAACGACCTATATTTTAAAAAATCTCTCCAAACATAAAACGACCTACATTTTGAAATGGAGAGAGTATTTAATTTGGGATTAAACTTTGAAGTAGTAGATCGAGGAATTGTGAATCAATTTTCATTAAAACTTGACTTAAACGAAGACATCCATCCGAAAATGCGTGTCTTTTTTTTTTTTTTTTTGAAAAGGAAAATAAAAAAATGCGTGTCTTATTCTCGAAAACTACACATCGCAACAATTGTAACCAGTTTGTATATTGCGACGAAAAGATGTCATTTTTTATTGAGTTTTTTGTTTGTTTGTTTTAGTTAACGTTATTGGTGGGAAATGTGATGGACCGATATTTAAAGTTACTTTGGGTGGTGGGATTTTTCTTTAAACATATTTATTATGGAAAAAATTCCATATATGAGACAAGAAATAACATTGGAGTCCCACATGGAGATATTTGTAAATAATGACCTCAAAAAGGTAAATAAAGAAATGAAAAGAACCAGAATTGAGGAGTCTGCAAATAAATATTGATATATATATATTTGCTAAAATACCCTACATTGTCGACAATTATTTGTATGGAAAAATAAAACTAAAATAACTGAGGACAAGAAACGGTAATTAACGTTAATAATTCATCTGACAATTAAATGTTAAGTAATATGTGGGAAAATGTTTTCTTTTCCTCTGTTCATAATTGCCAAGGCCCTCATGGAGCGCTTCGAATGTATGATTATGAAGATGACTTAGGTCTTATGATTAATTTTACTAAACCCCTCAAATTCTTGGACGAACATTGGTAGTTTGTTGTTGCGCAATTCACATAAAAGACAACAATGTCCCAAGCATTATAGAGATGAACCAAATGTACCTCTACAATTTAATCTTGTCGTTAGTTAAAAATAAAAAATAAAATTGAATGCTTCCTCCGTCCGTCTGAAAATTATTATCGAGTTTGAGTTTTCATTTTTAGTTCAAATTGTACTAAGCGAAATCTCAAACTGGACAATAATTTTAAAACAGAGGGAGTATTATTCATTATATCATCCTAACGAATGTGACCCTTCACATAGGTTACTGGCACTAACATGCAATTTATAATTCATATTATTGTATCCTTTTAATTGAATATTATAAATTATTTTTCTAAAATAGACTAAAAAAGTATTCCGTAGTAATAGGCTAGTGAGCTCTTTTGAAGAGCTGACTTATCAGCATCAAGCTTTTTGCAGAGATAAAAGTCAAACCAAAGTCCAAAATGAGAGTGACTAAATAAAAGAAAGCTAATAATCTATGCACAATAGCTACCTATTACTAGTAGTATCTTTTTTTCTTTTCTTTTTTTTGGATTGATGGCACAAATACGTCAGTCCACAATATATATTTTTTTCTTTGAAATGAGAAAAGTAAAAATGGATAAAAAGGGAAGACTGATAAATACTGTGAATCAAGGTCCAAATAAAGCAACTTAATAATTTCTTTAATATTTTAATTAAAAGGCTAAAATCATCCAAAAGGGGTCACGTGAGTGTTAGTCGGGCGACTTTACAGAAATGAAGTTTAGAGCACGTGATTTTGGACTGACTCTCACAACTCACTCACAGATGCCTTGCCTCCTCCTCCTCCTCCTACGTAACGTGCTCTTAAGCTGACAATTTTACCTTTTTTACAAATTTCTCAGCCTTCAGTTTGACCAAAGGGATTTGGATTTCTCCCTCTTTTCTTTCATTTTTTAAATTATTTTCTTCTTTTTTTTTTTTTTTTTCCGTTTGCACTTGTGAATGATATCCTGTGAATGCAGATGTTGCTATACAAAAATTTCCTTTTTTTAAAAAAAAAAAATTAGGAGCCCATAAATTTAATATCAAACATCTCTTGCGACTGAAATCATGAGATTTTTGGTTTCTTGAGAGACTACTTTGGAATGAAATCAATCAGAATGTCAAACTTTAACAAGAAATCAACTATTTTCCGGTGCTATATAGCCCCAATAGTTTATCACAAATCCTAAGAACCAGAAATTCGCAAGTTTCACTAACTTTTATGCTTGAGATAAGCTTTTTTTTTTTTTTTTTTTTGTATAAAAGATAATTTTCATTGACATTACAGGAGTTGGAAAGACCCCCTAATTCTCTTATTCAGTTACGGTAAAAAATTTTCAGTATGTAACTAGGTTTCTTTGGCCCGCGATTACTCGCGGTCTAAATTTTTTTATTTTAATAATTAAAATACTATTTCCATCCTAAATAAATAATCTAATTTGAAAAATTAAATAATTAATTTTAATATGAAAATTGACTTAATCTTGTAAATTAAAAAATTAATTTAAAAAATTGAATAAAATTTCATGACTATTTTAATTTAACAATTAATTTTAGGTTATACCAATTTCATAAGTATAAAATTTTTATATTTATAAAGTTTGACTTTTTTTTGGGACAGAAGTAGTACTATAAATAAAAATCTTATTTTAGTTTCATTTATTTAAAATTGATTTATTCAACCTTATCATTAGTCCTTATCACCATAGTTAAACCGTACCTTTTATTTTGGTTTTACGTATTTTTATCAATGAAATTGATTCTAGAGGTAAGATCCTTGTGACGCATGTAAAATTACCTAAGGAAATGTGACGCGTTATTTTTGGGTAATTACATCACTATTTTGTCCAAAGTAGGTAAAAGAAGGAAAAGAAAAACTAATATTATTTGGTTGCTTCTCTCTTTCTCTCTCTCTCTTTTTTTTTTTGTCTAAAAAAGACTTATCGACGGGTCAACAATTTTTTTTTTTTCTTCAAAATAACTACTTGATTAATAATCACCTGTTAATAATCCTCAATTTTTTCAAATCAACAATACTACACATTTTGGTGTAACTTTTAAATTAGATTAAAATAAAGATAAGTGTAAGAAAACTCAAGTGAAGTTTTATGAAAAAAAAAATAGATCAAGAGTTTTGTAGAAGATCGTGGATACATTCATATTTATCATGTAAACTTTAAAGTGTCAAAAATTAAGAAAAAAAGTATGAAGGATTTTATAGTAAGACATTAACAAAATATACGAATTGATAAATTGTGTCATTTATTGCTTAAATTAATACACAATATTTGTATTTCAAATAAAAAAAAGTGCTCAAAATGCACGTGTAATTTTAAAAGTTTGTTGACATTTATATTCAAACTTCCCAACCATTAATTTTCGCCATCATCTCTCTCACCACACTAAGTAATTGAATAATCGCTTACATTAGTTTGATTAATTTTTTTTTTTTTTCCATAGATTGTATCTCAGTCATGTATATTGCATATCTTTTTAACTATTGCGTTAAAAACCAATAATATGAGATCTTTTTTAAATTTTTATTTTTATTTTTATTCGGTAAGTCTAATGTGCGTATAACTAATATCTTGTATATTTTAATTAGTTCATCATTTAATTGTTATAGAATAGAGTAAATCCAGTTTGTTATACAGTATTATGAAATCAGAGACGAAATAAATTAAAATTTAATTATGATTGTGTAATTGTATTATTCTTTTCCTATTAACATTCAACTTTTATACCTATCAGTTCCAATACTGAAAAGGATTATTGCATCAATAGTATACGTAAGGGAAGAAAAGAGTTTAGACGAATTTCCAAATGAAAAAATCTCATTTTAAAAAAAACTCGTTTTAGGCTCGTTATTAGCTTAGCTTAGGCCGGCCTTGAGTCACAGTGGATCTCAAGGTAGTATGACAGTTATAAGAACCATAAGATCAAAGTCACACCGTAACCTTTATTTCAAAATTAAATAAAAAAAATTAAAATGAAACACCATAACAAATTCAAAAGCACCAAATTTGATGTTGAAAGCTTACATCATATAAGTCATAAATAATGATGTTGAAATCCATTTACTATGGGTTAAATATAATTCTGCGTTCGAAACTTCGAATTGGTTTGTGCATCATCAATTTACCAAATTCCTGCTAGAAACGAGGAGATTTAATCCGCAATTTGTAAAAACCTAGCTTGATATAATACTAAAAAAAGACTATTCTAAGGGCTTTTTCATTATTTTATAACCCACTTCGTCTCGAAATAATAATAATTATAAAGTAATGAATAACCATTTCGACAGAGAAAATATAACTCATACTAGTTGCACTTTTTTTAAAAAATATATCAGTCCTTTAAAGATAACAAATATTCATATTCTTTTTATCCCACAAAGAAAACCAGGTCTACCATGACTAACAAAGCATTAGTAGTTTTAAAATTTTTTTTTTTACTAATATTAAGATATACTAAGGATTTCTTAGCAAGTTTTGTTTTCGTTTTGGTTCTTAACAGTTATAAGAGGACTCAAATTCCAAAGAGAGTATTCACTAAAAAAGTAACAATAATTTGATTTGAGTTGTCATTTTCTGTCAATAGTGTACTTTAACTAAAGTTAGTAAAAATAATGTCAGTAAATTACATAATTTAACTTATGCTAAACAACATTGTAATAAAATAGGTATTTCGAATTAATATACATGTACCGTTTCAAAAAGATAAAAATTGTCATTTTCGGAATATCTCGAAACGGCGGGAGCTGGGCAAAAGGCTGTTTCATGCCCAAAGAAGGATTCAAATACTAGTAGAACTGAAATGGCACACGGACAACAATATAGTACAACTTTTTAACCAAATCTGAACTGGTTTAAATTGTTACAGCGTTAATCACATATAAGAGCTGATAATGGAATCAAACAAAACGCAAGTTGGAAATCTAACGACTAATTCTTTCACAATATCTATTCAGCCAACCAAATCATAACCATTCACATGTCTACAGTGGTTTTGCACCACCACCGTTCTCCAGGGCAGAGTTCACCGGGGTTGAAGAGCCGCTACTCTTCTTATTGCTGCTAGATGTACCAGTAATGGTCCTCCCCATGAACTTTCCAGCTTTTGATAAGCCACTTCCTACGGCTCCAAGGCCACTACCTACGGCTCCTAGACCGCTGCCAACAAGACCAACCCCTGCGCCCACACCACTTCCAACAAGGCCAACTCCACCAGCAATGCCTGAACCAACCATTGATGCCGCACCATCAAGTGCATCCATTGTACTCCCCATTACTCCTGATTCTTTAAGCTTCTTTCTTTGTTCGAGGAGGGCTTTCTCCTCTTCAAGGGCGGCCAACTGCTCTTCTTTGTTGAATGCATGATACAACAACTGAAATTCCAAGAGAAAAGACGGAATGTTTCAGTATGTGCTGATATCTCAAGATTTGGCAAGGAGTAAAGAGGCAGGAAGTTGTCTCTCTAGGGTGGGTGAGCGTAGACTAACTTTTGACAATGGACTTAAATATGATGTGTACCTGAAGCGTAATAGTTCCTCTATCTTTCTTGTCTTTAATTTTGAGCATGTCTAGAGCTGGCATCAATCTTAGTTCAACCTCCTTTGCTGCTTCAGGTTCCAGTTCACTCATACGCACTTTTGCAACCCCCAACTTTTCATCTTGCCCGACATCTTTATCAAAAACCTGATCAGATTAGTTTAAAAACATTCAGCCACTGAAATCAAATTCAGCCAGGGAAGAAGAAGAGAATGATGATTAATAGACACTTGACATATGTACAACTTTTTTTATAATTTTTTTTAGACATATGGACGGCTTACTCTAATAAGGATTGATTATTTGGGAATTTAAATGAATTCGCCACCCTATAGATTTATTAGGCACCATCATATCGTTCCATATTTATACTAAAAAAGGAAAAAAATCATTCCATATCAGAACTTAGTTCAACAGTACATGTGAGACTCTCACCTTCTTTCAATTAAAATAGATTAACAAAGAATCAATAATGGAGTAGAAATGGGATCATCTTTTCAGAACTAGAAGAAACTATAAAATGCCTCTTAGCATCCTGGGAAACACAATTTCAAATTTTATAATTAAATCATAAATCGCACGAGAAAGAGAATAGGTCACATAATTAAGCAAGATGAAATCTTCATTACAGTAATTTGGATTGATCCCAAAATCGTAATCAGAAGATGATAAAAGTGCATAAATGGACAAGACAAGTATCTCCCCAGTGTTGCTTCTTCAAAGTGTAAACTTCCAGGCAATATTTTTGTTTTTTTTCAGGTAACTTTATATACATCAAAATAGCATACCAATTAAGACGGTATCTGCTGAAATTGTAGAAATGAACAAAAGAGCAAAGCCCTTATATGATTCACTTTGGAAGCCCGGAAAACATTTAATCTGTATAATAAACTCAAAAGCTATTTATACAATATGGCAACAAAAAGTCAATACGGTTGATTCTCGTGAGATAGGAATATACAACCTTCTATCCTTCAGTCAAACTGAACCCCATCCCAACGTCCCAAGGACAAGAAATAACACCCTAGTAATATTTCAAAAAAGAAATAAAGGATTTCAAGGAGTGGAAAATGATACACAAAAACATAATGAAACAATATTAGAGTTGGATCCACATCAATATTCTTATAATGAGGATATATCAGCCAAAGCATAACTTCATACTATCACAGCCAACAGAATTCAGACAAGATAAATGAGTTCAGAATAAACCTCAACAATAAGGGACTGAGTCTCATGGTCTTCAACAATCAAGTCAAACTTTTGGTTCCAAACAGGATTCAGGTTGTTCTCAATGGTCTTTGTTTTGACTTTGAATAGTGGACGGATATAGACGACTGCATATGGATCAGATTTTCCAATCAATTCCTTGTTCTTCAGGTCATTTGCCCTCACCACAGTTACGGTGAGCCTCCCTTGTGGTTTAAGTTCCAACTCACTGCAAATCAAGTCCAAATGTATAACAAAAGGTTAACAAAGAGAGGAAAGGACTTGATACTTTATATCCAAAAGGACAAGGAATGGGCATGGTAAGTCCCCAACATTTTCATAGAGTTGAAGCATGTACTACAACTTTATATTTGAATTGCAAGCCATTGCCACCTTTTCATAGAACACAGAATCCTTTGAGGTTATAAACGTGGTAATATTTTGAAATGACAGTCAACGAGGACTCAGCTTGCACAGCAAAACAACAAAAAAGGAAGGAACAAAAAAAAAGAAAAAGAAAAAAAGAAAAAAAAAACAAAACGAGAAGAACTAGCCACTATTATAAAAGACGTGACAATTTAAACTTAAATCAAGCCGATTTCAACATTGCAACGGGAAGCACTGAATTGCGATGCCACCAATTTTAAATGAAGTGACAAAAGCTAGTTAGTGTTCAGACATGGCAGGTAAATTAATCAACTTTTTATCCACTACAGTATAATGATTCATCACGTCAGTACAGCTATTTGTTGGAAAGAAAAGAACATGAAAATTAACTCAGCTTTTATGCCTGTCAAATAGAGATTTACTGTCTCTCTGATGTTTAATTAGAGTATCTGTAAGCTATGATAACTCAATAGGAAAGTTCGCTCCTCATATAACTTCCTCAAAAATTACAGTCAAACTTTTCAATCTTCAAGGGCAAACTTAAGCACTCAATCTACAGATAAGTGAGTTTAATCCATGCCAAATTTCTGATTTAAGGGAGATAATTTCAAACTACAAGAAGAACAGATTTACCTTAAATCTACAGGAATGCCACCAATTGGAACAACAATGCGGTGAGGCCATTGGAGCATATCTGTGACAATGGTATTCACAGTATCCTTCAAAGCGAACAGAAAAGTCAGCCCAACTAAAAGTTAATTTGAGCTATACATAAAACACCCCGAAAAAACTTACATCAATCATGTCTGAGAGCCCAGGAATAGCTGTTAAACTTCCACCAACAGCCTTTAAAGTATAATCAATTCTTGGCTTGGGCTGATAAGAGACGACATGATGTAAGTTATCTGAAAATCATCCAGTAACTTAAATTTCTCAGCAAGATGTAAGACCATCAATTAGCAGGTTGCAGAACAATTACTTCGGCTAGGAGAGCGACAACAACAGCCGAAATGCAGGGGATCTCCTCAGCTAGTTGAAAGATAGCGCGAACAACAGTGAAAACTTGAAGATTCTTCAGCTAAAGTTCATGGAAAATTGCAACATTCAGTCAACATAGTCAATGATAAGATTCCAGAAGGATTGATAACCTAACAAAGTCAGTCAATTAAGGAGAAAAGAAAACAAAAACAAATACAAAAGAGATAATCAAAGACTTGTTGAATAGATCATGTTAGAAACCTGGATGGGTATAGATGCCACCATTGCAGCTTCCACACCCAAGACGATGTTCGGATCACCACCCCATCGAAGATCGATGTCCATAGTTATTTGGCCTTTCTTAAGGCTCTGAACACGGATCCCTGCATGTGTTTTGGTAAAATGTTTAAACAGCAGCAGCAAACTCAAATATGCATGAAACTAGAAAAACTAAAGCATAGGTTGTGGCATTTTTACTAGCATTAATCCCACTAGCCTTTTGTTTCAAACATCACTAATGTAAGTTAAAAATCCCAGACGACAAAGCATTAAATGTGCAACAAACAGAAAACATGAAGAACATAAAGAGAATCCGAAATGTAATTAATTTGGAGATATGGTACCTTCAATTTTCGGTGCCACAGTTCCAAGAGTCAGTTTGCTGAACTTTAGCGAAGTTATTCCTGGAGGACGATAGTCTTCCAAAAGAGGTTCAACAGATTCTCTGATAACAGCCTCTGCAGCCTGAGAAGAAACAAATTCCAGGATACAAAATTACTAAAAAAAAAAATCACAAATTGGAGAATTATGCTTATGAAAAATAACATCAAAAAGCTTAGTTGAGTGATCATTAAGAGGGAAATCAGCCAAATAAGCAAAGCAACAATTTCAAAGCCACACAAACAAGTCGAATTGTATCTCAGTAGGGCAAATTACATCTTTAAATTACCATTAGATATTAAATAGGGAATTAATGTATCCGGAAACGAGACAGTAAAAAATGTTTGTTGAATACTCATTACACTATTGTAAAATTTTCAGCAAAATTGAGATTGAGTTAAGTAAAAATAGAAGTAGTACGACATAACAACACATCAGGGAATGAAACACGGTTGTCAAGAGAGGATTACATACATAATCTAACAATCTGAAGACTGGAAAAACAAATAAAGAAAGTTCTTAAATAATGAATAAAAACAACAACATTTATTTAGATCATAAAAATCTCATCACCGTTCTTATTTATAAAATGCAAAGACAAGATAGCCTTACATCTGCTACAAACGGCCATAGTTTGGCTAGTTGTTTATTCAACCACTTCACCTGCAGAAATGCACAAAACAAGATTAAAAAAAGTAAAGAGTATTGGCTGTACAAATTGGATAATGCTGACAAAAGCAATCTAACACTACGCCAGAAAAAGATCCTTCTACTTTACGATCAAATAAAACCCATCACTAGCTGCATGATTCTCCTTTCAATAAGTCAAGCATCTCATTTACTCAACTCAGGTCAATCAACAGAAACAACCTCTTTGTATAATGACAAGGGTAAGGCTGCGTACATCTGACCCCCCAAACCCCAACTTGGTTGGGAATTTACTGGGTATGTTGATATTGAAATCAAGCATTCCATCTCTCGCAAAGAGAGAAGCTACAGTTCGCAAAACTCACCACCACCATCCCAAAAGTTATTCGGAACACTCCATTTTCATATTTGATCCAACATAATCAATCCAAAATTTTTCTACAACATTTCTTGGATGAACAAAACAACAAAAGTCTTTATTTTGATTGTAGAAGTTCTATATCATTACATACAAAGAGTCAGTTAGATACATATGGTACTAAATGTCATGCTATCTCAGCTCTATGGAATTCACAACAGTTTCATGACTAAGAAAAGTCTGCCATTCCCAAATTACAGAAGTCCTCCAGAAGCTTAAAGCATGACTTATTACTAGCACTAGAGTCGAATCAGTTAGTGACAGTATGAAATCATTACAAATAACTTACGGAACAACTCATAAAATCAGTAGAGTAAAATCACACATGAAACATCTCATAAATCATAGAATGAGAGAAAAACATGGAAAGACAACAATATCAATTAAATAAAAAGAAGTGAGGTCTCACCTGCTCAAAAACTGGGAAAGATATCCACTCAGGAAAGTTTTCACCACAAATCTTTTTCAAGTCTTCCCTGTTAAGGGAGCTAAGTAGTTTTATGTCAACGGCCTGTAAACCAGAATAAACAACCTTTAGATTACCACCAGGGACTTAATTAGATCAGCATGTCTCACATAAACAAATCAAAGGGCGAGAACACAATCTACATCCAGTTGAATCCGTGTGTGTGTAGAGTAGACGCACCACATCCACTTTAGAAAGAGTGTGTAATAAAAGAAGTCATAAACTAGAAAAGAAGAGAAAGATCAAGATGGCAATAATAGGCCGAAAAAAAAAACCCATATGCGGAAAATCACAAAACTACTTTTAAAATAGAAGTACTAAAATAACAACACAGAAAAACTACCCAGTCCCGTAACCAATATGGGCTTAGATGTTTCTCAATGCATCAACATACATGAAAAGACACAGTTACAAAAATAAACATAACATGTGATGGAAACAGAAGGAAACACTTCTATACTGAGACTCTAGGTGAAGCATTCTCTAGTTTTCCCATCATTCACCCTGCTTATCAAACAGTACAAGGTCCAAATTTCTCCATACAATTTCTGGCTATATTTCTAGAGACGGGAAACGGTGACAAGTATCATAGACATTTGAAATCAGTCAACAGCAGGAAGGGAGAAACATATACTGAAATTGAACTTCTCATGCATAGCTAGAAAAAAAGAACCAACCAAAGTATGCATGGTAAACAGACAAAAGAGGCAACATCAAGAGCGCCTTATGATTAGGCAATTAGCAGATTCAGCCTCAATGCCATTTCAACTCTAGTAACTTAAAAATTCCTAAAAACAAAAACTCCAAACTGTTCTCCTCTCCAATTGACTTCACAAGATTTCAGAAGAACCAGTTAGCTGGCTTATACTATCCCTAAATAAACTGCAATAGGTCTGGAATAATCTACCATCCTTTCCCAAGTATATTGGCTAAATACAAATTACACTTCAGATTGAAGCCTTGGCACCCTTGTCAACCATTCATCAAACCATTATTATTCCTTGCAACATAATTGCCCCAATCACTTTCTAATCCGTTTCCCTTGGATTACATAATTCCAAGGCACATTTCATTCCAAGTACAATCAATTTCACTCAGTCCACAACAATATTTTCTGCATACAGGCAATTTTCTTGTCACAACTTTCAATAAATCGAAACAGGTCTTAAACTTTGAGAAATCCAAAAGAACAAAAATGTTGTTGATAGCTATACACGAGCACTTCCTGCTCATATCCCCAGAAATTACATTCCAATTAGAACACAAGTTAAACCTACGGACAAATTCTGTCCATACACCAGAAATTAACGTCCCAGTAAGTAAGATAAACGAGTTTGCAACATTTCAAGAATTAACAAAGATGGACACAAGTAAAGCACCTTCGCCACACGTTTGTTGCTTCGATACTTCATCATATATTGCCAGCCGGCCATTATTGCGATCCCGAACAGCATGCCCATCACCATCCCCGAAATCAAACCCATGATTCCTTCCTATTTCCCACTAAGATTCCTAAAACGATTAGCAAAAGAGTTACACAAAGTCCATAAAAAATAATCACGGGCAACAAAAAGATAAAGAGAAACTCACAGTGAAGAAGAAGAAGAAGAAGAAGAAGAAGAAGAAAGTGACCCTTTTAGCAGGGAAAAGAAATGGATGGATCAGTCCAAAAGACTAAACCGGACTTCTCCACACTCAAATCAAACGTTACAAATGTTGGGTTTATCTCCAAACAGTAGTATTAATTTACGGCACACGTAATTATTGCCATTTATACATCAAAAACTGCCATAAATGTGAGAGGCCCTGTTTCCCATTTCCAACCCAGAATATCTTCAGCAATTATTTCTCTCACAAAAAAAAAACCAAATTCTATTGAACCCAGAATGCCTTTTATGCTTCTGTGTCGATTTATGAACAGTAAAAAATTAAAAAGATGAGGACCTGTTGGGGTGGATGATGATCAGGGGAACATTGAAATCTCAGATTTTTTTTTAATTTTTTTTTTTAAATTTCGTTTTATATTTGTCGGTCCGCTTTCTACAATGTGCTGACCCTTTTACGTGGAGTTAAAGGTGAAGGCCTTTTATTTTCATTTATACCCTTGAACATTTAGAAAATGGTGAAAAAGTTATAGATACTTTCTCCATTGTGGCACTATACGTCGATTTTTTGTGTTTGAGTTGAACTTCACATGTTGAAGTAATTTTTTCGTATGCAATAATTGAAGATGAGAATAGCACAATAATGATTTGAATCGTGGTACTCGAATTCGAGAGGAATCAATAATTATATGCCTTTCCAAATTAGAGGTTGGTTGGGGCTTTGATCCATTTTAACAAAAGATTGAATAATGACCAAAATATGTCGCTCCACAAATGCGAGGTTCTAAAATTTTCCACCTTAATGTGAATTGTAAGGGCTTAAAAGTCCCAATTGCTCAATTTATAAGTACCATTTTCATAATTGCATAAGAAATCCAGAGTCATGTGTATTTCGTTTTTTTAGTGTGTGTTTTTAGATATTTTTTGTATTGAAATGTAAAAAGGTGTGTTGGAAATGTAAAAAAGTATGCTGGAATGGGACAATTATTAATAAAATAAACTGAAAAAATCATAAAAAAATCAAACAAACAGAAAATGTTCCAATTGGATTGATTGCCTAGCCTAGTCAAATTAATTTGATTTTCAGTTTATTTAGACAATTTTTTGACGAGATAAATTGTATTGATCGATCACGATAGATGATCCATATACTTAGCTGTACATAATGAAATAAGTATACTGCAAGATAAACATCCACACATTTGTTGAAAAAATGTTAATCAAGGAAGGTTCACAAATATTTCAACTAGAGTCAGATAAATTTCTCGATGAGGCTATAGGTAATTGCTGCCTTTGTGCCTTACCACATGATGAGGGGATCAATGCAATTTCGTTTATCTTTTTTATTTTTTATTTTTGTTTTGAAACGGGAATCAATGCAATTCATTCAACTGGTAACGTAACTTTTAGAGAAGAAGAAAATAAAATTTAATTGACAGCCAGCCAAGACATAAAAGGATTTCTTCATTTTCATCATTAACTGACTAGAAATTGGCTTTTGATTCCTTTCTTTGTTATATATATGTTGGCTTTGTCCTAAAATAATTGAACAAGTTGTAAGCAATACCCGTGGTAGGGTTGTGAATTGTGATTAGCATGTCAAGTTTCTCCAATTTCTCACCCTTTCAGAAAACAGGACATGAAGCCCACATCAAATTGAATGGTTTGGCTTTTGAGTATGCTGGCAGCCATGGAGATAGTGACCAGAGATGTAGATTCTTTAAAGACTATTATCTCCATAAGTCAATCCAATATAATAGTAATACAGGACACCATTGTAAGCTTAAGAAAAGGGAAAAAAAAAAAAAGAAAAAAAAATATTAACTGCCTTGCAAATGGTGTAGAATTGAGTTTGACCCCACAAAGGGTTCTTATGAAAATGAAATCTGTTATAACTTGTAAAAAGATGGTGTATTGGGTGTCAATGATTTCAACTTGTTACTTTTTCTTTGACAAAATATGCTTTCTTTGCTATATGACTAAAGAATTTATCTTGTTCAAGTCAAAAGTTAAAAAAAAAAACTCCCAAGCAGGAATCTTTATGCCCTTTCTACAAACGGATACAAAGCCAAACTTGACATCAAAACCATCCAGGAGAGATGAGCACCTATTGTCACACCATTGCTGTTAGGTGATCTTGATACAATTGTGGTTGTGGGGGTCTGCCCTTCCTCTGTGGTTGTTGGTGGTTCGACATATGGTGGAGGAGGTGGTTGGTTCAGGCTTGGAGGCAGTCCAAGTCCATGGCCTACACTGATCTCGAATGCCATGCCATGCTGACATTGGATACCATCATCCGCACCAGAGAAGTAGTACTGGGGACCTTCTTTTGTCAATGCCACAACTATTGTTATTGGCTTCCCAAACTCATTCTCTCCTCCTTGGTACTGGAATGTGTCACTGTCTAAGGCGTCGTCTATGCTGCAGTTCTTATAAGTTGTTGCATTGTATGTTTGAATCACAGTTTGGTTCGTGTTCGTATTGAATACTGCAGAAGAACAATTGCTCATGTAAGGAAAGAGAAGACATAATCATGCTCAATGATCATTCTGAATTGTGCAAAGCAAAGGAAACGCTTGCATTTATCATGCTTCTGCAGTCATTGAAGCAGATGAATTACTTGCACAAATTTTCTAAGATCCCAATGGAACCTAAACTAGATAATGGGATCTGTGACCGGAGTAGGATTGAAAATGCATGACCGTAAAACTTATCCCATTGTGGCAAATATTAAGTAAATAAACAATGATACAACACGAGGTTCTTATTTTCAAGAATTGAAACCATGTCACAGATTTTGCACCAAATAGAAGAATCAAATGGCTGTTTCTAGTTATATACTTATATCCAAACTGAATGCAGTTGAAGTTGTTATTTCAAGCGTCTTACTCTTCATTTCCCTGCCCCCTCAATCATTTCAGCTTAGTAAAGGTTACAGCTCTAATGGACACACATACTTCGAAGACCAGACCTGTGTGAAGACACAAGGAATGAACACTTTCTACATGACTGATAAATTGAGATGCAAACATTTGCCCTCTTTGAGTTGGAAAAATATTCATGCATAGTACATAAGTTCCTTTTTTTTTCATAGCCAAGTGCATAAGTTCCTTATATGAAGATGAAGACACAGAAAGTGAAAAGCTATCACATCATTCCAACCAGGAATGTTCTCTCAAAATTATGTCCTCATTGAAGTTGACATGATTTACCCTAAAATGAGAGAGCTAGAAACTGACCCTTTTTTCCATCTTCTAAGCAGCATCTACTAATACAAACCAACTAAACTGGTGGTGCACTGCATCCTAGTTGGCACACCTTATGCAAGTTTTGTAACCTTGTGTCTTGTACTAATCCATTCAAGACAATTAATTATTTATTAATTTCCTTAAACGTCTCATGGTATCTGCAGACAACTGCAACCAACGCAGCCTCCCAAGTTGGTTTTCAAAAGGGAATATCTAGACGAGGGACCTCAGGATCTATTTAGTTTTCAACAAAATCAATGAAACAGGTTGGCAGAGTGGGAAACTTGGTTAACAGTAAGCACAGTTTTCACATCATATCAAAACTAGGCTCGCCATATAGAATCTCACTTACAAAAATGATTTTCTTCCTGATATTCACCGAAAGCACACAATTCAATTTAAGGCCTTCCCAGAAACAGACTGGTCTAGCTCTAGTATTTAAAGCCCGAGATGCACATTATAATGTCAATTGATCATAAAACCACAATTACACAATTTACATAAGAGCAAAAGCACAATCTTTGACAAAATCCCAGAAAAGTTAACAACAAAAAAGAGCTGGAATGAAAATGTAAACTCACTCAAATAATCTCCAAGATTGAAACTTTGGGTGGCAGCCCAAGCAGAGTAATCAACGGAAGTCTTGTTGGTGGTGGAGTTAAAGAACCAACCAGCATCTTTCCCAACTGTGTGATTAGCATAAGCAGTTACAGGAGCACTTGGTGCTGCCGCAGCCGCATCAATCACTATAGCCACAACCGCCAGAATCAGGTAAAGTACAATGGTTTTGATCTCCATTTGCAGGTGGGGCTATTGCAATACAGTGTAAGAAGAAGATGTGAAATGCTTGATTGATTTCCCTCTTTTGGAAAAAGGGTTCTTCTCCTAGGTTGTGAACTTCCCTAGTAAGAAAGAGACAAACTGGACCCCTTTGGGAAGAAAATAAGGAAAGTACTACTCTGCTTCAACATTGCTAACGTGAATCCTAGGTGTGCAGAGCGTGACACGTGATGATTGTACAAGTTCCAGTCTTCAATTTGAGTGAATTTTTTAGTATTTGTTAGAGCCAAATACAAAAAGCAAAGGGGAATTTTCTTTGTGGGCACATGAAAATATGAAATGGGAATTGGAGTGAAACTGCAAAGAGTCTAAATATGATTTATGGGGTCACAAATCAATGTATTGTAGTAAGTTGTAAGTTGTAACATGACCAGAGAGATCTGGGTTTGTTTAATGAGTCCAACTTTAAAAAAAAAAAAAAACGGGATCATAACATCACATTGACTTTTACACAAAAATTTGAAGATTTTGAAGCATAATATGAGTTGGGAATTAACATTGAAGACAGTTGACTTTGCAGGGCACAGTTAATGAATAGGAAAGAAGAATCCTGCAAGTCCTATACTGTATGATAGTATGATTGTTGTGGCGGAAAGGGTATAAGCACAACACACTGCGGAAGCGAGCCCCAAGAAAAACTCTTTTCCTACTACCAATAAAATAGGACAACCACCCAAACAAGCAACTAACTCAAGAACTGATAAAATAAAGGAGGCACGCAAATTTACGTGGAAACCCAAATCGGGAAAAACCACGAGACTGTAACAACAGTCAAATCTCCACTATCACAATAATGGGAAAATAGTCTTCATCGACTGGTGGATACACAGGACTTCACCCAAAGGTGGATTACAACAATACTCTTCCACACACACCTATCACAAAGTAGGGCTGGAAGGATCTAACCAAAAGAGAGCTAAACCGAAAATTAAACCCTAGCTTTCTTTCTTTTTCTCTCGTACAAAAACAATGCACGGCTGCCCAAATTTTTCTTCTCTTTTTGGCTGAAAAATACACCCCTAAAAATTATGCCAAAACCTTGCTTTTATAGAGCAAAAAAAACTAAAAACAAAAACCCAATTGGAGTAGGTTTTGTTAGTTTCCTTGTTGACCCAATTAAGGGAAATACCGGGCCCAACAATCCCCCCCTTCACCTCAATTGGGGGATAAAACCAAACCTGCTTCCTGTCTACAGAACAGAAGCTTCTCTCTAATCACAGTCTTCGTCAACATATCGGCACCGTTGTCATCCGTATGGATCTTCTCAAGAAACAACGCCTTGGACTCCAACACATCTCGAATCCAATGATATCTCACATCAATATGTTTTGACCGCGAATGAAATGTGGAATTTTTCGCTAAGTGAATAGCGCTCTGGCTATCACAATACACCACATACTTCTCTTGCTTCATGCCAAGCTCTTGTAGAAACTTCTGCAACCAAAGTGCTTCCTTACAAGATTCGATGTTGCGATAAACTCTGCCTCTGTAGTAGACAAAGCAACACATTTCTGCAATCTACTCTGTCATGAAACCGCTCCCCCTCCATAAGTCATCAAGTATCCAGAAGTAGACTTCCGACCATCAAGGTCACCCGCCATGTCAGCATCTGTATATCCATCCAACATGGTCTTTCTATTGCCAAAGCAAAGACTCAATCTGGAAGTACCTCTAAGATACCTGAGAATCCATTTCACAGCATTCCAATGCTCCTTACCAAGATTGGAGAAAAACCGACTAACAACCCCAACTGCATGAGCTATGTCTGGCCTTGTGCAAACCATCGCATACATTAGGCTGCCAACTGCCGAAGTATAAGGAACCTTTTTCATCTCTTCCTTATCTTTCTCACTTTTAGGACACTGCGTTTTGCTTAGCTTAAAATGCCCTGCAAGTGGAGTCGAGACTTCCTTAGCACCGCTCATGTTAAATCTATCAAGAACCTTCTCGATATACTTCTCTTGAGATACCCAAAGCTTCCCATTCTGTCTGTCACGAGAAATCTTCATCCCAAGGATCTGTCTAGCCGGACCCAAATCCTTCATCGCAAAGGATTTATTCAACTCCTTTTTCAACCTGGCAATCTTTGCAATATCATGACCAACAATCAACATATCATCGACATAAAGCAGAAGAATTATAAAATCACCATCAGAGAATTTTTTCACAAACACACAATGATCAGCTGTAGTCCTTTGGTATCCCTGCCCTATCATAAAGGCATCAAACTTCTTGTACCATTGCCTCGGAGCTTGCTTCAACCCATACAAGCTTTTGTTGAGACGACATACAAGCTTCTCTTTCCCCTTTTCCTGAAACCCATCTGGTTGCTCCATGTAAATCTCTTCTTCCAAATCACCATGCGGGAAGGTCGTCTTCACATCAAGTGTTCAATCTCAAGATTCAAGCTGGCCGCTATCCCAAGCACAACTCGGATTGAAGACATTTTTACAACAGGAGAGAATATCTCATCAAAGTCTACGCCCTTTCTCTGATTGAATCCCTTCACAACCAATCTGGCTTTGTACCTCGGTTGTGAGCTTTTCTCACTTGTTTTTAGTCTAAACACCCATTTATTCTTGAGTGCTCTCTTGCCTTTAGGCAGCTTTACCAGGTCATACGTGTTATTCTCATGCAAGGATTTGATCTCATCTTGCATGGCTGCTAACCACTGATCTTTCGCTCATGACTAAGAACCTCTTCATACGACTCGCTCTCCCCATCGTAAGCAACAAATACTCATGAGTACTGCACAGTGGAAGGTCTCTTGTCTCCGGTGGACCTCCTAGGCTGAACAGGAGGTGATGAAACCGGTGGTGTCTCTTTCGATGGCAGGATCATCATCAAACTCACCATCCTGCTCTGTCTCGGCTCCCCTTCGGGAGAATCATCGATTGTGGAGGAACTGGATCTAAATCAACAGAATCTCGGTGAAGATTCGGCATCTCGCCTTTCCTATATCATCAATGGTCTGGTCTTCAAAGAAAATCACATCTCTGCTTCTGAAAACTTTCTTTTCTACAGGATCCCAAAGTCTGTACCCAAAATCATCATTTCCATATCCCAAGAATACACACTGCTTGGATTTGCCATCAAGCTTCGACCTTTCATCTTTGGGAATATGAACAAAGGCACGACAACCAAAAACTCGCAAATGCCTAAATGAGACATCTTTCCCTGTCCAAACTCGTTGTGGTAGATCACCATCCAACGGAACTGAGGGAGATAGGTTGATCAAATCAACTGCTGTTTGCATGGCTTCACCCCAAAAAGATTTAGGCAGCTTTGCATTCGAGAGCATACACCTAACCTTTTCGGTAATAGTTCTGTTCATTCTTTCTGCCACGCCATTCTGCTGCGGAGTCTTCGGAACACTCTTCTGAAGTTTAATGCCATGGTCTCGGCAATACTTCTCAAACGGACCCCTGTACTCACCACCATTATCTGCTCGAACACACTTCAATTTCTTGCCAGTCTCTCTTTCAACTCTAAGGTGAAAGTCTTTGAACACATCTAATACCTGGTCTTTAGATTTCAAAGAAAAACACCAAACCTTTCGAGTATAGTCATCAATGAAAGTAACAAAGTACAATGCTCCACCCAACGACCTATCTTTCATGTAACATACATCTGTATGAACCAACTCTAGAGCACTGGACTTTCTAGATGGAGGAGAATTTTGAAAGAAAACCCTATGTTGTTTACCATAGATACAGTCAACACAAGATTCTAGAGTAGTACCTTTCACCTCTGAGAGAAATTGCTTCTTACCAAGAATCTGCAACTCCTTAACACTCATGTGTCCAAGCCTTCTGTGCCAGAGATTACTGGAGGCATTGTGAGTTGCATTCACCTCTCCATTCTTCAACTTTGCATTCAACACATACAAAGAGTTCAACTTTTTTCCTCTAGCAATAACAAGATTCCCTCTGGTAATTGTCTAACGACCACCACCTTCAGTGCTATGATAACCCTCATCATCAAGTTTACCAACGGAAATAAGGTTCAGACGCATATCCGGAACATGTCTGACATTCTTCAAGACAAGAGTATAACCTGTATTTGTTACCAATGATACCTCTCCCATGCCGACAACATCGCATGAGGCTTGGTTGCCCATTCTTACACGACCAAAATCTCCAGGTATGTAAGAGGTAAACAAGTGTCTGTGAGGCGTCACATGATAAGACGCACCTGAATCACCGAACCAATCACTGTCGTGACTCGCAACATTAATTGTATCATCATCACAGTACACAAATACATCACTGGTAGTTACTACTGCAGTAGTGTCATCATCACTTGATTTATCCTTCTTGCCTTTACCTTTTCTCGCTGCTAGTTCTCTCTTGAGAACCCTGCACTCCCTCTTAAAGTGCCCATTCCCTTGACAATGGTAGCACACGACATCTTGCTTGGATTTAGACGTCCCCTAGACTTGTCATTCCGATCACGTGGCCCTCTGCTTTTACTTCTCCCTCTTCTATCTGACTTTTCTGTCACCAAAACCTGTGACTCAGACTCAATACTCTGCTCTTTTCTTCTGACTTCTTCATTCATCAAAGCTTCTTTGACCTGATCTAAGGTCAAGACACCATCCTGAGTTGAATTACTGATTGACACTACCAAAGTGTCCCAACTGTCTGGAAGAGAACTAAACAATAACAAAGCCTGCACCTCATCATCCAACTTTAAACCTACATTCACAGCTTGGTTCAACAAACCCTGAAACGAACTCAAGTGCTCATTCATGCTAGCACCATCTTTGTACCTCAACGTGGTAATTTATTTCAACGCAGATGACTTATTGATGCCGGACTTCTTCCAGTACATATTCTGGATTTTCTCCCAAAGTTCATCAGCTTTTATTTCTCCCGAAAAGTGATGAAACACACTTTGATCAATCCACTGTCGAATATTACCAACAGTCTTCCTGTGCATATCAGCCTACTTTTTATCAGTCATATCACTTGGCCTACCTTCATCCCCTAGAACAGAATCAAACAAATCTTTGCAATACAACAAGTCTTCCATTCTAGGCTTCCACATATGATAATTGGATGAAGTCAATTTAATCATCGTACCAGTACTCGATGACTCTTCCATTTTATTGGTGTAACACCTCAATTACCGAACCGTAGCTCTGATGCCACTGTTGTGGCAGAAAGGGTATAAGCACAACACACTGCAGAAGCGAGCCCCAAGAAAAACTCCTTTCCTACTACCAATAAAATAGGACAACCACCCAAACAAGCAACTAACTCAAGAACTAATAAAATAAAGGAGACACGCAAATTTACGTGAAAACCCAAATCGGGAAAAACCACGAGACTGTAACAACAGTCAAATCTCCACTATCACAATAATGAGAAAATAGTCTTCATCGACTGGTGGATACACAGGACTTCACCCAAAGGTGGATTACAACAATACTCTTCCACACACACCTATCACAAAGTAGGGCTGGAAGGATCTAACCAAAAGAGAGCTAAACCGAAAACTAAACCCTAGCTTTCTTTCTTTTTCTCTCGTACAAAAACAATGCACGGCTGCCCAAATTTTTCTTCTCTTCTTGGCTGAAAAATACACCCCTAAAAATTATGCCAAAACCTTGCTTTTATAGAGCCAAAAAACCTAAAAACAAAAACCCAATTGGAGTAGGTTTTGTTTCCTGGCTTTGGTTTTATTAGTTTCCTTGTTGACCCAATTAAGGGGAATACCGGGCCCAACAATGATTTTGTTGATCTTGAAACGAACACAATCATCTGATTAATGCACCTGCTTGTTCTGATTCAGATTGCTTTACAAGTTTTTTGAAACTTACTTTCTAATGCAATATAGTTAAGCAATGGAAAAACCAAAAGAACTAATCGCTCCAACCGTAGTACAACAAACAGGACTCTTATTTTGGGATGAAAAGTGATGAGATTGGAATGGCCTTGAGGGGCACCGCTTTCTGAACTGTTAGTCCAAATCTTTCAGTCATTTCAATGTCTTCTGGTCTGATCCCTTCTTCAAGCTTCCAATCAAAATTGTGAATCAAAGTAGCTAACATGAGATGGAGCATCCGGTGTGCTAGCGGCATTCCTAGGCATATTCTCCTTCCTGTACCAAATGGAATAAGCTCGAAATGCTGCCCTTTCACGTCGATTTCTTTGTCCAAGAATCTTTCAGGCAGAAATGAATCAGGATTAGGCCAATGACCTGGATCCCTTCCAATGGCCCAGAGGTTAACAAGTATTAGACATTCTTTTGGCAGTATATACTGGTCTAGTTCCAAGTCTTGTTCAGGTATACGACCCAATATTGCTGTTGGTGGATGAAGACGAAATGTCTCCTTAACTAATGCCTGCAAATAAGGAAGACTAGAGATATCTGATTCTTGGACAAATTTTTTGTGTCCTATGACTTCCTTAATCTCATCTCTAGCTTTGCTCAGTTTTCCAGGGCTCCTTAGCAATTCTGTCATCGCCCATTCCACAGTGACTGCAGTTGTTTCTGTCCCAGCAGACATTAAATCCTAAAACAGATGGTGAATATGTTTGTTTCATCCCTCAATATGTTTTATGTCATCAAATTATATAAACAGGAAAGAGTACCAGTCAACTTTCGTTTAGCAGAAGGTTGTCAATCTATTAGGGACTAGTGTATTTCCAACCAGTAAACTTTCAGTTAGATGAATAATAACAAAGCCAGTTAAATAGCCCTCATGTGGAATGTAAGAATCATATTCTGTACTGAAATTCAAGTAAACACAACTCACCAAAATCAAATGTTTGATGTCCTGGTAGCTCCATTCAGCTTCATTCTGCTCGGTGAGATCGAGGAGGGTTTCCAGGAAATCATCTTTCCTGGAATAATTCAGGGATGTCCGTCTTGCTCGTAACCTTTGAGTAATTAGGTCGTCGAAACTTTGAAACAGTTTTCCAAGATAAAACTTAGACTGCCGCCTGATGCCCAGTGGATCTATGGCTTTTAGGACAGGCAAAAAGTCGGAAATGTTTGGAGTGCCAAGACTATTCATCACTCCCATCACTATTTCTCTTAGTTCCTGGGATGACCTCGAATCATAATCAGCAAAATCAACAGAGAAAATGGTGTTGGAGATCAAGTTGAGAGATGTTGTGAAGGCTGCTTCACAAATGTTGACCACTTTCTCATTGTTGCAGCAGTCCTGCAAATAATCACAAAGTTGTTGCACCTTTTCCTGACGCAGGCGTTGACTTGCATTGAGTCGCTCAGATGAAAATATCTGTTCTTTGCACAGCTTGCGAATATTGCGCCATTTACCTAATGCTGCCGGCATCCAGATAACAGAGAATTTATCATGGTCAAGTGCCCTGGTTGCATCTACCTGTGGTCTTCTAATGAACTGATGATCATTTCTATGAATTTGTTTAGCAATATCCGATGAGGATACAACAACTGCTGTCTGGCTTCCTAGCTTAATTGTCATTAAAGGTCCATAAATCTTGGAGAGTTCTGCAACTGACCTATGAAAGACTGTTCCAAGCTGAAAGATGTTTCCAACAACTGGAAATGAGTATGGCCCTGGAGGAAGGCTAGAGGATTCATGGCGTCTGGAATTGATTTTCAGGATGTAAATGCAAAACCAAATGACAAAAACAATGGAAAGTGAAAGGGTTGCTGTTTCCATGGTTAATGGAGACGTATGTGTCTTAAGGTGGCTCCTCAGTGTGAAGGAGTATTATTACCCTAATGCTGCATTTGTTTACTCAGCTCAGCATGTGGTTTATGACATCTGATTGTAGCTCTCATTTGTCTGCTGCTTCAATAAATTAGGCTTTTTTTTTTCTGTACCTGGCAGCGTATGTGACAGCAAAGTTCATGAATACTGACCATCTTGGACAGATTAGTTTATTGAAGTAATCACTAATCTCAAAGTTGGAAGAACAGCTGATTAAATTATCAATTATCTTGATCCCATGAGCCAGTTAATCTCATCCATAATTGAAAACTATTTGTTTTCCTTCATTTGACAAGATATGTTTTCTCAATATCAGCCACTGATTGCATTTAGAAAACGAAAATCACTCCCAGTTGTACATTGCTCACGCAATCAATCTGCCATAAAATATGAAAAAAGGGGCCAAACATATTAAATGCTAACCTACGGTTTTTCCCAAACATAAAAAGGCCCATAAATGCTTGTTACAGATGCAGTCAGACAATCCATGAAAGACAAGGACTATGTACTATAATCTAAAATTGGAATGGCCTTAAGGGGCACTGCCTTCTGAACTGTACCACAAAACCTCTCAGCCATGTCAATATCTTCAGGTCTGATCCCATCTTCAAGTTTCCAATCAAATTTATGCAGCAAAGTAGCCAGCATGAGATGTAGCATTCGATGTGCTAGAGGCATTCCTAGACATATTCTCCTTCCTGTGCCAAAGGGAAGGAGCTCAAAATGCTGGCCTTTCACATCAATTTCTTTGCTCAAGAATCTTTCGGGGACGAATGCATCAGGATTAGGCCACTGGCTCGGATCCCTGCCAATGGCCCAAATGTTAACAAATATTTGACCTCCTTTTGGCACTACAGACTGTTCTACTTTCACATCCTCTTCAGGTAGTTTGACTAGAACACTAACCACTGGATGAAGACGGAATGTCTCCTTAACTAATGCCTGCAAATAAGGAAGCCTTGAGATATCTGATTCTTGAACAATATTGTTGTGCCCTATGACTTCCTTAATCTCATCTCTAGCTTTTCTCAGTTTTCCAGGGTTCCTTAACAATTCTGTCATTGCCCATTCCACTGTGAGTGAAGTTGTTTCTGTTCCAGCATATATTAAATCCTGAAACAGATGTTAAGTAAAATTTTTTCAGAATACCTGATCTGGTCATCACAAACTAACAGCTCAACTAAAAAGATAGATTTCTTAGTTATTATGAATGAGGGCTCAAATTTTTTTTCTTCCGCCTCAATTTTCTCAGTATTTTCTTAGTTATCATTTCTTAAAAACTATAAGAAACTAGAGAGATTCTTCAAGGACTTCAAATCCAATGACTCAGAAAGAACTGTGATTCTGAAATTCATGTATATCCACATACTCACCAGGATCAAATGTTTGATGTCCTGATACCTCCATTCAGCTCCTTCCTGCTCGGTTAGATCAAGAAGGGTTTCCAAGAAATCATCTTTTCTGGAGTAATCCAGGGAAGTCCGCCTTTCTTGTAACCTTTGAGTGATTAGATCGTCAAAACTTTGAAACAATTTTCCAAGATAGTACTTAGCCTGCCGCCTTATGCCTAGTGGATCAATGTATTTTAGGAAAGGCAAAAAGTCGGAAACATTTGGAGCGCCAAGACTTTTCATCACACCTGTTACTATCTCTTTTAGTTCCTGAGATGAACTTGAACCATAATCGGCGAAATCAACCGAGAAAATGGTGTTGGAGGTCAAATTCAGAGATGTTGTAAAGGCTGCCTCACAAATGTTGACAACCTTTCCAGTATTGCAGCACTCTTGCAAATAATTACGAAGTTGTTGCATCTTTTCCTGACGCAGGCCCTGACTTGAATTGAGTCTCTCGGATGAAAATATTTGTTCTTTGCAGAGTTTGCGAAGATTGCGCCATTGGCCTGATGTCGCCGGCAACCAGATAGCAGAGAACTTATCATGATCAAGTGCCCTGCTTGCATCTGTGACTGGCCTTCTAATGAACAGATGTTCGTGTTTGGACAATATTTGTTTCGCGATGTCCGATGACGATACAACGAACGTCGTCCTGCTTCCTAGATGAATTGTCATCAAAGATCCATAAGTCTTGGAGAGTTCTGCTAGTGAAACATGGAAAACTCCACCAAGCTGAAAGATGTTGCCAATGACAGGTAAAGGGTAAGGCCCCGGAGGAAGTTTACTGGCCTTCCGGCTGCTGGAATTGATCTTCAATACGCAAATGCAAAACAAAATTACCAAAACTATGGAAAGAAAAAGTGTGGGAGTTTCCATAGATCATGGAATTGTCTCTTTCCTTCTTCACCAAATGGTGGCTTCTAACTCATCTCTGTAAGTTGTATCAGAGACCCTTTTTCCTGCGTATTTTACTCAACTCATCATGTGGACTATGGAATATAATATTGATACAGTTGCGATATAAACAATTCTGCACTAATAATGAATGCCAAAATTTTGATCCACGAATTGTTGACTATCTAGCTGTTTGATTAATGTGTATACTGACAAGTTTTGGGCAGATTAGTTTAATGAAGTAAGTAAAGTTTTGGACTACCAACTGATTTAATTAATACAAGTTGCTCAATTATCAATAAATCTTGATTAGCATGAGTCAGTTGATCTCATCAACGGTAAATAACAGTTGGTTTTCCTTCACTTAAAATCAATATTCCCCTTATTATGTTTTTGGATAACCAGTTAAGACTGTGTTATGGATTATGATTTATGACTATATAAATGCATCCAGGTAATAATCTTGACCAATCTAAGCCAGTTAGTCTCATCCCTGGTTGAGAACTGTTTGTTTTCGTCCATTTGATTTAAAATTTGCATCTTTTCTGTACACAACCGCAATCAACGTCTTCATTTTGATACAGAATACATTGCGATCAAAACTTGATGCTTTTGAAACCTAATCAAAACGAGGAAACAAGACTAAACATAGTATTAAGATATGATTAGGAAAGCATTATGCATATTACGGCTGCCAACCAAAAAAAAAAAAAAAAAGTGCATTCAGATCATGGTCAGAACTGGAATGGCTTTAAGCGGAATGGCCTTCTGCACCGTTAGTCCAGACTTTTCACTCATATCCATGTCCTCCGGTTTAAGACCACCTTCAAGCTTCCAGTCAAATTTATGAATCAAAGTAGCCACCATGAGATGCACCATCCTATGAGCTAGAGGCAATCCAGGGCAAATTCTTCTTCCGGCACCAAAAGTAAGGAGCTGAAAATGCTTCCCTTTTACATCAATCTCACTGTTCAAGAACCTCTCCGGCTCGAACGAATCAGGATTTGACCACAGCTTCGGATCCCTGGCAATAGCCGACACATTTAAAATCAACTGGGCATTTTTCGGAACAAAGTATTGGTTGATCTCCATGTCGGCATCAGCTTGGCGAGCAACTATAGCGCCGGCTGGGTGAAGCCGGAAAATCTCCTTAACAAGGGCTTGCAAATAAGGAAGCCTAGAGATGGATGATTCTGGAATTAGTTCATCACATTGTCCAATAACTTCATCGATCTCTGCTCTAGCTCTTAACATCTTTTCCGGATTGCGAATTAGCTCTGCCATCCCCCATTCCGTCGTGGTTGACGTGGTTTCACTTCCTGCAACAAACAAATCCTGCAATAGAATTGAATCAGCCAACCACTTTATAATCTCACACGTGAAACATGTATTGACAAATTCACTTTACCAACATCAAATGTCTGATGTCCTTGTACTTCAATTCTGTTTCATTACTCTCCATAAGATCAAGAAGTGTTTCCAACAAGTCATTTTTCCTCAAATACTCGACAGATGTGGCTCTTTCTCGCAACCTTTCAATCATAACACCGTCGATAAAATCGAGCAATTTCCCCAGACAAAGCTTGGTTTTTCTCCTGAGACCCTGCGGATCCACCACCGCGAGGAGAGGAAATAAGTCCGCTAGATTCGGGGCAGTAAGGTTTTTCATCAGATCCGATACATTTTCCTTGAGTACTTGAGAATTCTTCGAATCATGCCGGGCAAAATCAACAGAACAAACAGTGTTAGATATCAAATTCAGAGACGTCGTGAAGGCAGCCTCACCAATATCCACAGCTTGACCACTTCTGCAGCATTCTTGAACATAATCACATAATTGCTGAACCATTTCTCGACGGAGCCCTTCATTGGAATTGAGACGTTCGGCCGAAAACAACTTCTCTTTGATCAATTTGCGAAGATCCCGCCACCGGGTCGCCGTCACCGGCAACCAAACAACAGAGAGATTATGGTGGTCGAGCACCTTTAGTGCATCTGGGATCGACCTGGAGGAGCACTTGAGATCGTTCTTTTGAAATAATTCCTTGGCAATTTCCGGTGAGGAAACAACAATTGCTGTCCTAGTTCCGAGCTTGAGTGACATTAAAGGTCCGTACTCATAAGAGAGTTTTGTGAGTGATTCATGGAAAAGCCCACGGAGCTGAAAGATGTTGCCGATAATTGGAAGTGGGTTCGGCCCCGGAGGAAGTTTCCGGCGGCTGGATGTCGACCGGAGGAGATAAAAACAACACCAAGTCAGAAGAATCATTAGAAAAACGAAAAGGGTCGACGGAGCATCCATTATCGTGATTATACTTCCCCAACAAAGTTCTGGGTTTTTCTCAATTAACTCCCCTGATCAGTTTTGATAAGCTGATTTCAAAAATGGATGCAAATATGATTCAGAAGATGAGGTTGAATCATTTTTGTCTTGACTTTCCTCTCCACCATAGAATAGTGGTTGTCACTGGTCACTGATAGACTGAACCTTTTGTATGAAAAGTATCTACAGTTTATATTATGAAAATATCTACCATCTCTCCATACAAATATATATATTTTTTTAATTGGTACCTGGATTAATTAAGGGATACCTAAACTAGTACACCGCATTTTTGCATAAGCTAAATTGTGTAGATCCTGAACTACCGTCCTGTTTACTTTTAGCAGTAAGCAAAGCCGAAAAGTAGCCATTAGAGTACGTATGTTGGCGATTATCTCCTGAGCTTCAGTTGGAAATTTAGAAATTTCCTGATCGGTGGTCAAGAGTTCACAGTCTGTGTAGATGTGGAGCTTTTGAATGCCCAGGGATGAAGCATCTTGTAAAGCCTGTAAGCAGGTAGTAGCTTTTGCTTGGAGAGGTGACAGTGGTGTTATGGAAACTGTCTTAATCTGCAACAATATCCCGGTTGAAGAGAGAATTTGCCAGGCTCCTGCGGCCTTTTTGTTATGGGGATTGAAGGATGCATCAAAAGTAATTTCTGACAGTGGATCGCTAGGTCTGCTAGGAGGAAGGGTAGGTGAAGTCGAAGCCGTCTGTGACCTCAGTCTGGACTGCAAAACCTTGTGCTGCTTAAGGTCCTGTTGTATTAATCTCCATGAAGTGACCGGATCATTGGTCTGACTTCTCCATACTTTATCATTTTTGTCTAACCAAAGACGCCAGAAGATTAAGAGGAAGAGGTCAATGTCCTCAGAAGATGGTTGAGTTTGAATCCATGATTTAAACCAATCCAGTATGGAGGTCATGGAGCCATTTAAGATTGATTGGAAATTTGGGTATGCAAAGCTCCAGACTGCTTGAGAAATTAGACAGTTGAAAAAGAGATGAAGATTGTCCTCTAATCCGGTAAAACACCTTGGACAGGAAGTATCAACCTGTATTCCTCTTCTCACAAGTTCTTGTTTGGATGGTAAGGCATTAAGTGCCGCCCTCCAAAAAAGGAATTTGTGTTTGGCTTGTACTTTAGCATTCCACAACTTCTTCCAAACCAAGCTGTCCATATGTGAGGGAGTCTGTTGGGTCGCTTGAGCAGGGAAGGTGGGAGAGTCTCGGTTTAGAGCTTCATGATACAATGATTGGACCGTATAGGAACCATGATCTGTCTTTTGCCACAGAAGTACATCTGGTTGCCTATGTCTTGCCGGATCTACATATATTCCAGTTATATAGGGAATATACTGGTCTGGGAAAAAGGTCTGAAGGAGAGACATTTTCCATTATCCATTTGGTCGGAGTAGATCACTAACCATCAGATTGAAATGTTGAGCTAAAAAGGAATTGCACTGTATAGGATTAGTAACTCCAGGAATCCAGTTGCTGGCAATCGGGATATCTCTACCACTTATAACCTTCCATTTTAAGTTGTTGTGAAGGAGTTTTGTTCCCCAGAGAACACTCTTATATCCCCAAGTGGCATTGGTGGGTGGAATCTGATGTGAAAAATTTTCCATGGTGCAGTATTTTGCTCTATATATTCTGGATAAAAGGGAAGATGGCTGTGCCAAAATTTTCCAAGCATGTTTAGCCAAGAGAGCTTGATTAAATTCGGCAGTTGCTTTGAGTCCCAAGCCCCCATAAAACTGTGATTTAGCCATCTTCTTCCAAGATTTCCAATGAATTTCTTGCTCCTGATCATCACCTTTCCATATAAAACGAGCAATGATTCCATCAGCTTTCTTTAATGTGGAGGCTGAAAGTTTAAAAACACCCATCGGATATACCAACATAGCTGATAAAGTAGCCTTTGCTAATGTAACCCTCCCAGCAAAGCTAAGAAGCTTTGTCTTCCAGTCCGCAAACTTCCTTTGGAGCCTAGCAGTGAATTTCCTAAAGATATCTGTTTTTTTCTGTTTGAAATCTAGAGACAAACCAAGATATTTGCTCTGAAAAGTCCCTTCAGGGATATGCAAGGTATTGTGTACCAGAGTTTTCATTGAAGCTGATGTATTCTGACTCACTAAAATGGAGGATTTGTGATAGTTGATCTTTTGACCTAAATAGGAAGCATAATCCTCCAGTAATCCAGACAATGCCTGAATAGATGTATCCCGACACTCGAGGAAGAATAAGCTATCATCAGCATACATGAGATGACTAATTCGTGGTGCTTGCTTACTGATTTTGATGCCTAGCCCTGGAAACACTTGTAGCTCTGCCCTAATTGCCGAGGAAAGAGCTTGTTGGTATAAAATGAATAGGTAAGGGGACAAAGGACAGCCCTGTCTGAGACCTCTGTTGGGAGCAAAATAAGGCAAATATTCACTATTGAACTGGATGGAGTAGGTAACCGTGGTGACACAGTGCATGATAAGATTTATGAGTCTTTGTGGGATGCCAACCTTGACTAGTACCGCTTTCAGAAAAGGCCATGATATCCTGTCATAGGCCTTACTCATATCTAATTTGACTGCTGCAACACCTACATCACCCTCCTTTTTCCTGATGTATTCTATGACTTCATGCGCAAGTAAAATATTCTCACTGATATTTTCCTGGAACAAAACCATTCTGGTGTTCATCAATGAGCTCCGGCATAACCTGTTTAAGTCTGCTGGCAATCATCTTCGAGAGGATCTTATACTTCATATTGCAGAGACTTATTGGTCTAAAATCCCCAGCAGTGACTCGATTAGGCAACTTAGAGATGAGGACAATATTAGTCTAGTTTCACTCATGAGGGAATTGTTGACTTTCAGCTGCTTCCAAAATAGAGGTCTCCAAATCTGATCCTATGATATGCTTGTATGTTTTGTAGAAACCAGCCGGCATACCGTCTGGACCCGGTGATTTCCAGGATGACATTTGTTTAAGAGCCTTCCAAATTTCTTGGGAAGAGAATGATGTTTCCAGAGCTGTGCTTTGCTCTAGAGTGATGCCTTCCTGCATGTGATTGAGGAATTGAAGAAAAAATGGGGAGCTTAAGGGATCAGAATTTACTTGGCTACGTGGTGCTGAGGAGCCAGAAGCACTCGACAGTTGCACATCATAAAGATCCTGGAAGTGCCTCAAAAGGACTTGGGAAATCTATGTTGAATCATGTAACCACTGACCATCACTGGATTGCAGTTCAGTGATCCAGTTATTACCTTTCTTCTTGGAAGCCCATTTATGAAAGTATTTTGTGTTCTTGTCTCCTTGTGCTGGCCAGACAAGTTTGGAGCGTTGATGCCAATAATCCCGTTGATACTGAAGCGCTTGCTCTAATTCCTCTTTTTTCTATGAGAGGAGATTAAATGATGAATCATCATCAGTATGCTCCTCCCAATGGGATTGTAAAATGGCCAGTTGATCCGATAGCCTTGTTACTAGTTTGTCAAGGTTACCAAAGGTATCCTTACTCTAGTTAGACAGGCCTATAAGACTCGATTTGAGCTTAAAGGACAATTTCTCTTGGGTGTTAGGAATCTGTAAATTATCATTGCTCCAGGCAGTGTGAACCAATTCTGTGGAAGTCAGGGTGTTTGTCCAGAATTGTTGAAACCTTAAACGCGGTCTTGTTTTCTTCTGCTTGTGCTTGACCTGAACCACAATAGGAGCATGATCTGAAACCATAATAGGGAGATTCCTAACAGAAGCCGAGGGGAATAGAGATAACCATTGTCTGTTGACAAAGGCACGATCCAGTCATTCAAAAATTCTCTCTCCCGGTTGTCGATTGTTGGACCAGGTGTACCAATATCCCATATGTTGAAGTTCCGCCAAATTATTCCTCATCAGAAACTGCCGCACTGGGCCGGTATCTTGATCCCTAACTAATCGACCACCACACTTATCCTCCTGTGACACTACTTGATTAAAATCTCCTAATAACACAATAGGTTAATGAAAAGAGCTTAGATTGGAGCTAAGATTTGACCAAAATTCTGCACGGCCTTGCCTACTAGGGAAACCATACAAGAAAACTGCTAACCAACTAAGCCCCGAGGATTCGCATATCCTCGCTACTATTACATTCGGGTCCTGCAACATAATATCTAACTTTACATCTGACATCCAAAATAAAGCGAGACCACCCGAAGTCCCTATGGGATCTATTACAAAAGAATGTCCAAAAGGTGTGGTCTGTTGCCACTTTGCCAAAAACCTACTACTTGCTTTAGTCTCCATTAAGAATAGAATTTTAGACTTATAATGTTTATATAACCTACCTACATAATGCTGAGTAGAGGCACTATTAATACCTCTACAGTTCTAAGTAAGGATATTCATTTTGGTGAAGGCGGTTGATCTGGTTCAACCACCGCAAAACTCTTCAGCTTCTCCGTCTCTTGTTCCAGCAGTGCACAAGTGATGGCACTGCTCCCAAACTTGAACTTTTTGTTACTGCTCCAACTACTCTCCTGTGACTCCAGTGGTCTTTTTCGAGAACAAGACAGCAATTCCTTAGGATCCTGGAACTCCTCCTCCACTGACATTCGCCAAGTGCCTCCCAGTGTCAATCTGCCGGAAGATGATGGAATAGCTGTTTGGGGAGGATTGGAACTGGATGGCTGTGAGACCGATCTGTATGTGGGTTCCATGGACTTTCTGCGAGCCTTCTTTTTCTTCCTCTTGTTTTGCCGGATCAATGTAGCAGCAACCTCTGAATCGGATACCACTTTCTGAACTTTGAAGTTGTAGGAATGGACTTCCTCAGTGGTGTTAGATGCACTGCCATAGTCCAGCTCTGGAGCCGACATTGTCCATACCCCTTTTCTCTTTGAAGACCAGGGAGAAATGTGGGAGGATATCTCTGACTCAGACGCACTTGTTTGCAATCCACTATTCTCCTTCGAGGCTGAGTAATACATTAAAGATCTTAGGAAGGAGCTAGACTTTGATACAGGAGAATTAACATCCTCTCCAAAAGTGGAAACCCTAGATGGCCGATTAGCAGGCCTACTATCACTAGCTACAGATTCACTATCTGATACAATTACATCAAAAACAGAGGTTGGTGATAACTGCGCATCACCCACAAGTTCAAAATTCATAGTGCTAAAAACATCAACAGCAGCATCAAAGTGGGAATGATCTAAAATTTCCTCAGGCTACAAGGACTCTGACATCTCCGAGTCCGAATTACTAAACAAACCATTGACAAGGTTGATAGAATTAAAAGATTCAGGTTTCACAGAGTGATACGTACCAGAAGATGCAGAGTCTGAATCATCTGTGAAAGATGCCGGCGCAGCAGAAGCAGCCCGTCTGGTAGTATCCGGGTAGTCATTGGCGAACAGGTCCTCATAATTGGGGCGAGAGGCAGACAACGGATCAAAATCCCTATCATCCCTTTGATTTCCGTCTGGGTCCTCATTATCAGCGGGAAAATTACTATTGCCACCAGGATGATCATTATCATCATCCCCATTCGGACCATCACCACCCTGATCAGGATGATCTGCATTGTCTTGGTCATCGTGCCCGTCTTCATTATTATTATCATCATCATCATCGGGAAACATGGCAGGATACATTGCATCCGGCTGAGGGGCATCCACCTCTGTGATTTGAAATCCGTCTTGGATATAGTACTCTAGCACAGTTTCATAGAAGTGATGCATTTGCAGGTACTTATTTGCCATAATTCTGGATGACTGTTTCTGCTTGTGTCCATGTGCTCTCATAGCACCAGAGAATAGTGGACGTTGAGCATCAATGAGCATTGGAGAATCATTCTTGATGGCTCGGGCCATGAAGTGGTTGTCCAGATAAGTGAACAGAGCAGCGTCATCCACCATAAGACACCTCTGTGCCGGATGACCAAGCTTACCATAACGTGTACAGAATTTATGTACACACTCATATTTACATATGATTTTCCCTGACTTGCCGTTTCTTTTAGTATAGTGGAAGACTGGGGTAAGTGGATCCCCCAGATTTATCCAAACTTTTGCCCGGATGTATGTAGCTTTCCTGAGATTGACACAATCTTCCTTGATGATTGCAATTTCTCCCAAATTCTTTGCCAAATCCCTAGCACCACGGTAGTTGTAGGATGTGATGGCAGCACCATGCATGCGAACCCAGACACTGAGTCTGTCAATCTGAAGGCTGTCCAAAACCAAATCCTCTTAATCATATATCCTTCACAGAATTAGGAGACCGCCATCAACCGCATAAGGTCCATTGTCCAAGACTAGGAGGAGATCTACCCTTGACGCAAACTTAATTATGAAGAAATTCCTACCATAATGCAAGATCCTAGTATACATGGGCCAGTTCTCTGTCATGTAAGCCTGCATGTCCGCATCCGTGAAGGATCTATTATCCAGTATATATCCAAGCAAACAGAGCTTGAAATTGTCCCTAGAAAGACTAGTATTGTAATCATTAAGCAAGACACGCATAGATCTCTCATATGTGGTTGCAATAAATTGAGGATGAACTTCCGTGGCTGGATTGAACTCATGTTCTTCTTCGGAGAACTCAGATCCCAGCAGTGACATATCTGTCACCGAGTCTTCATCCATTGCATGCCTATGAGACATGATGAAAAGGAAGTAGAAAGTTGAAAAGAGAGAAAAGGGGTAGAGTACAAAGGACTGATACAGCCACAACAGTAGAGGTAAGGCAGCTACAGTGGAAGATTGAAAAGGACTTGAAGGAGCAGGGAGAAGTTGAGAAGTTGAGCAGTCAAGGATGTGAAAAGGTGTTATGCTTTTTCAGTAAAGGAAATCTTGAGCAGACAAGTCATGAAGACCTAGGAGATCATTAATGCCTCGGTTTAACAAACGGACAAAAAGGAAGAATAAAGAGAGAATAAAGGAGGTACTGTATCCGGGTTTTACTATGTTGATATAAATGCAAGAGACCAGAAAAGGTAATCTGTTTGATTAAATCAAATCAGAAGAGATCTGATAAGTGCATGCAAGTTTCAAAAAGGCAGGATTTTAAAATTGGTTAAACTGCATGTTGTCCAAATGTCATAAATACGTTTCTGTCTGCCAAATGTAGCGAAAAAGATGAAGAGAAGCTAATGGCTTGTGGAACCGGATGAGGAAGGAAGGAAGTTGGTAGTAGAAGTAAGGCCCTTCTCTTGGAGAAAGAGAGCACTTTCTCTCTCTTGGGAGTATAGAGGGAGAAATGGTTCGAGTTAACTACATCTCCATACAAATGAATTACATCACCTTTTACACACAGTTTTTCTTTTTCATAATAATAAATGTAGCCAATTAATAATTTTTACTACAGATGCTTTTTCATATATCCTTGTCAATGATGAGTAATAACTTCTACTAGTACTAGTGAATGCGCGACCCTGGCCCAATATATCTGTACATCTTAGAAATGTTTGTATTTGAAAAAAATATTTTGTATTTGACCCGATATATTTTAGAAATGTTTGAAGAATTTAAAAATATTTTATAAGTGTGATTATAGAAATGTTTGTATTTGGCAAAAAAAAAATATTGTATTTGGCCCGGTACGTTTTAGAAATGTTTGAAGATTTTAGAAATGTTTTATAAGTGTTACTTATTAAATATAAATAAACTTAATCAAGTATATGTCTTGAAGTAAATGTTACACAAAATATAAAAGCATCCAAATAAGTTTAAATATTAGTAAGATAATTTATTGATGTTTTCCATTTGTCGTACGAAATCAATACTTAGTTTTGGAGATTTATAATAGTTTTGTAGTAAGTTTCATCCGAAGGGTATACGTTTAATTGTTAGAACTGTTTCTTCCAAAGGTTTATAGGTAGTAAAATATCAAAAACATGATTTTGAAACTGGTTAATTGTTGAAACTGGTTGATCACAAATATAAGAATGAAAATTAATGTAAATTTGCATAGGTTTCAAGTTATAGTAAAAAAGAACTCACCGCACCATAGCAAATGAAAAAAAAGTAAGTAAAAGAGCCCATTAAAAATTGAGAAATTATTTTTTTCCTGTAGGTAAAAATGATGTATAAAAATACAAATAAACGTAGAAATATCATTCCTTCCCTCTCTACCTCAAATTCATAAAAGGCTTCCTCATAAATTAATTAGAAGAAGCGATCTGAACTATTTATATGATGATGAACTCAAAAAAGTCCAAAAATCAAATCCAAAAAGGTATATTCTTGAAAGTCTGAACACAAAAAAAGAAAGAAAAACGCGCTTCATTTGCAAAAAAAATAAAAAAAAATAATAATAATAATTGGTCAACTGGGAGTATGAAACAAAATCAAAAGCAATTAAACAAAAAAAAAACACTTTTCATAACTGACCATATACGAAAAAAAACTAAGACTCCATAATAATTAAAAAAAGAAAACCACTCTAATTGAATGAAACATAAAAAAAATTAAAAAAATCACACTTTGTAACAAAAACCCAATTGATCAATTCAATCCAAAACAGGACTAAAATCATTCAAAAATTCTAGGCTAACTAACCATATAAGAAATCATATCATATTACCTGGCAACGGCTACAGCAGCTGTAATGGGTAGACGCATAAAAAAATAGTAATAACACTATTTTTAAACGGAAAAAAACAAAAAATAATAAAAGCCTTACAAATGATCTGTGGATATTAAATTATTTAAATTTTAATATCTGTAATGGTACCACCACAACGGCCGAAGCAAGAACAATGAGAAATTATTTTTTTTCCTTTGTGTTTATATAGAGAGGTAAAGAGAATATTTTTTGAAGTCAAAATTTTATCCGATTAGGATGTAGTTGATTATCGCTAATGAAAAGATTGAACATGCTAATAGGAAAGGAGTATATTTCACCACATATTCTCAATTCATGATTGATTGATGAGGAATTTGTTTTTTTTTTTTAATTTTTATTGTGGGGAAGGAATTGATTAGGGAGTCGATTGTCGTGGAAATGGAGATGAGGATTTGGATTTTGTATGAAGCTGTGGTTTTTTTTTTTTTTTTTTTGGCGAAAATAGGAGGTGGAGGTGGATTTGGACTGCATTTACCTTTTAAGTATAGAAAACTGATGTGTAAATAAAAATTTATTTTAAGAATATGATGTGGAAATGCCACATGGCAAATGGTGGTACTTTCTTTTAAGTGTGGTTTTTATTTCTAATATAGTAAGATACGTGAGTGATCACCCGAAAAAAAGTTTTCCATGTAAGAGGCCTTTAGAACGCATTATTTTCAAACCAAACGCACACGGAGTCTCTAATTAGTCATTACCTCTCCACATACCCCTCTTATAACCTAAGTGTTTCAAAAAAATACGCAACTACTCCATCCATTCCAAAATAGATGTCATTAGAGGAAAACTCATTTTTTTCAACATATATGTGGTTTTTGCATTTCAAGACATGTTTTGTCAATTTCTTCCAACATTACCCTTACATGGGAAATTGTAATTGTGTTTAAAGTAGAAGTATATTAGAACTAAATAATATTGGAAATAGGATTCTATTGAAAGTAAATGAGGATAGATTAGTATTTTAATCAAGTATTTATTGTGTTCTTAAACTTTGTGCAACTCACCCAACGACATCTATTTTGGAATGGAGGGAGTACTAAATTAGTTTTATACACTCTCTTTTTTGTAATTAAAAAAAAAGAAGTTCAAGTTGAATTTTGAATTTTTTTTTCTAAATAATGCAAATGTCAAAATTTAATGTGAATTATTTTTCGGGGGATAAATGAAGTATAATTTCTATTTAATGAAATGTTTGGTTAGAATATGATTTGTTATAGATTATAGATAATATAATAACTCTTAAGGGTACATAAATTAACTTTTTTTACGATTAGTACATAATAATAAATATTAAATTTCTTACTGTTAAAAAATGAAGATGTCTTGATTAAATTGAGAGTGTATGACTAACTTGTTTGTGTCATTCCTATTCAAGGGTATTTTGTATTTTAGCCGGAAATAAGCTTTTGGTCAGATCCATCAAAACCATTTCTTACGTATTCGTTTCAAATACGCAACCAAAAAAAAAAAAAGGATTTTTCTTTGGGTAACAACATCAACCATTACTTAACGCACACCAAACGATCGATCCACATGATGTTGTAAGCAGAGACGTATAATCCGTATTCGGTATAAATCTCTATGTAGAAGTTTCTCAACAAAATGTTTGCACAAGAGTTCACATTGCTTACTTATAGAAAAAGTGGCAATAAATAGAACATATAACTAAAAAAAGAATGGAATACAAAATAACTACTACAATCAAGGAAATCAATTACAGCTTCAATGGGATGGCCTTGAGGGGTAATGCCTTTTGTATTGTCAACCCAAACATTTCATCCATGTCCAAATCTTGTGGCCTAATTTCCCCTTCAAGTTTCCAGTCAATGTTGTGAATCAAAGAAGCCAACATCAGGTGTACCATCCTATAAGCCAGAGGAAGTCCAGGACATATTCTTCTGCCGCCACCAAATGGAATGAGCTCGAAATGCTTCCCTTTCACATCGATTTCGCTATCCAAAAATCGCTCCGGCTTAAACATTTCGGGTTCAGACCAGGTCCTTTCATCTCTTCCTACAGCATATGCATTGACCAATATCTCTGTATTTTTCGGCACCGTGTAACCATTGATCTCAACATCTTCAGTTGCTTTATGAGGAACTAGAAATGGGGCTGCAGGATGAAGCCGAAAAGTTTCTTTAACGACGGCTTGCAAGTCCGGGAGCCTGGAAATGTCTGATTCTTGAACTACTCCTTCTTCTCCAATGACTTGCTTGAGTTCTTTCCTGACTTTTTCCATCCATTTTGGGCTTCGCAGTAATTCTGCCATTGCCCATTCAACTGTTGATGAAGTTGTGTCTATTCCAGCCACAAATAAATCCTAAAATCATCACCATGAAAACAGAGTCAAAATTGATTTCTTGTTAGGATTATCAGAAGAAGAAAATGAAAATTAGAAACTAGATTGAACGGGAAAAGAAGATTTGCTTACCAGAAGCAGATGTTTCAGGACATCGATGCTGAATTCAGACTCATTCTTGATGTTTTCATCCAAAAGGGCTTCCAACAAATCATTCTTCTTCATCTCTGACGACCCTCCAACGACAAGTTTCCGTTCATTTATCAAACGATCGAAAATGTCGAACAGATTCTGGAAGCTCGTCCTGGCGCTACGCATAATCCCTTGTGGATCAATCAGGCGAAGGACGGGGAAATAATCAGAAAGATTAGGAGCGCCGACGTTTTTCATCACGCCCCAAACGGCATCCCTCAATTCTTGAGTTGAATCGCTATCATAATTAGCAAAATCGACCGAAAACAGAGTCCGAGACATTAGATTGAGTGATGTTATGAAGGCAGCTTCACCAATTTCGACTGATTTCCAGCTGTTACTGCAACTATTCACATAATCCCGCAATTCTTTCAGTTTTTCCTGACGAAGGCTCTGGCTCGAATCAAGTCTCTGCGTCGAAAAGACTTGCTCTCTGCACATTTTACGCATGTTTCGCCACTGGGTTGAAGGTGGAAGCCAGGCCATTGAGAATTTGTTGTGATCGAGCGTTTCGGCGGCATTGGGTACAGAACGGGTGGAGCAAATTGAATCATTTTTCTGCAAAACTTCTCTGGCAACTTCAGCTGATGATACAATAATAGTGTGCTTTCTTCCTAGCCTAACAGACATAAGAGGGCCATAAGTTTTTGACAGTTTTGCAAATGATTGATGAGGCTTCTTGCTAATCTGATGGAGATTTCCAATGATTGGAAACTGAAAAGGCCCTGGAGGAAGTTTGGCTGATTTTCTGGACCTTAGTTTGGAGGTTAGAACATAAATGCATAACCAAATGAGGAAGTAAAGAGCTGCGGAATACAAGATGGTGATGATATTCATATCTACTGTTGTTTTCTAGCCAACTTCTTGATGATGCTCTTTTTGCTTCTTGAATTCTCCACTGAAAAAAAAAACGGTGAAGATAATATATTTATGGGGGGAGGGGGACTGACTATGGGAATGGGACAAAGTGATTTATTTTTTTTAGTCAAAGAATATCTTGTGGAGGTAAATGCAAAACGGTACACAACTTCCTTTAGATCGCACTTCAATGGAAAGCTTATGCGATGAAATAATACCTTTCATCCACACAAAAAAATAACAATTTTATTTACTATTCAGTTTTTAATTCAATCAACATTCATGTTTTTTGTTTTTTTTGGGGGGAATACAGACTTTTTATTTTTAGAATAGAGAACACGTCGTACTTAGAGAGTTAGATATGTGTCTTTTGCTCGATCTTGCGGTCCTAGGTAAGAAAGTTACAACTTTTAAACCATTAGAAGGAAGAGAGAATTATCATATACAGTAGTTTTTTTTTTTTCTTTTCAGAAATAAAACTCATATTTCCGTTTCCCAAATGTACAAAGAGATGTGGAATAGGTCTCCAATGCATATTTCTGTCAAAAAAGGTAGTTATCAAATTACACAAAGATCAAATTCAACAGTTTTTATTTCCTAAATGTACAAAAAATTAATTATCTTCTGTCCCAAAATTATTGTGCACTTTATATTTTTACTTTTTGTATAATTTGAATTAATGAAAAACTAAACTAAACAATAATTTTGGGACTCAAGAAGTACTCAATTACTTAAAAAAATAAAATAAAAATCCTCCTTTATTGAACAAAATAAAAGAATTACTCTCCTAAAATGTGGTACAGGTGGAGAACATCAATGTCCATTATCCACACAATGCAGTAAATTCAAACTAAGCTGCCTGGGTATCCAAGTTTTTCGTCAAGGTTGCATTCAGATTAACCTAAAAATTGCTACGGAGATAAGGGGGAAAAAAAAAAAGTCGAAAAGCCAAATTTCAGGCATTGTATTCAAAGGAAGTCGGCGGACAAAAAAAGTTTGACTTCGACATTGAAATGAACCGACTGTTGGGAACATCTACGTCAAAGTGGTTCCCGCCGGATATATATGGTGAATTAAAATAAGCTGTGCTTATTTGGACAATGTTTTGTTTTAGTTTTTGATTTGGATTTGAGAGAAGATTTAAAAGGTAGTTTCGTTTTTCATTTAGAAAGTATTATAGTATAGTGACCATTTATGAAATTAAAATAGTTCAGCGACCAAAATGAAGATTTTACAATAGTTCAGTAACCAAACGCAACACTTTACAATAGTTTAGTAACCAAACGCAATGAAGGCTTTACAATAGTTGAGTGACCAAAACGAAGATTTTACAATAGTGTAATGACCAAACACAACATTTTAAAAGGTAAATTAAAAAGTTGTTTAGATAATATATTTTTTTCATTAGTTTTTGTGTTTAAGAGGTAAAAGGGGTGAAAATGGAAAATGAGTTTGTTTGAACAAACAAACAGTAATCATTAAGAGACCAAGAAATATACAGTATATATCGTTATTTACAGAATGCATATTAAGAGAAAGATTAGAAGAGAGTGGCTAGAATGTGCTTGGACGGATTGCACGTAATCAACAATATCAAATTCCCCTCAACCACCCCCTTTTTTGACTTTTCCCAGGAAGGCAGGAATAGAGTTAAGATTGTCGTCTGCTAGGCAAGTTTGGTGGAGTTTGACCTTAAAGGTTACACTGAGCTCACACGTGTGGGTTTGTAGCATATTTTAGAACAATTTCTGGAGGGTGAAATGAAATCCATGTCCAAGCCCAAGGGAAACATTTCGAACTCACACCATTCAGTGCTGGCAGAGAATATGCGGACTTCTTCGGTAAATCATATATGGGACTGGAATCACCAATTAAATGGTGGATCCTTTCAAATTTTGACATGCTAATAATAGAAAAAACATCATTACTATCTTATCAGTTTCGTCCTCCATTAATCTTAATGAACTATAGGGAAATGAAATGTGATTCACCAATTAAAATCGTAGCCAAATTCTGACAGAGTAACCTAATAAGGAGAGATTGGGAGATTATCAGTTTTTATCTAAGTTATTTAGATCAAAGGATGTAATTTAAGTTGTCAACATATGCATAATTATACATTAGATTATCTCCCAATTCGGCTCAAACACAATCAGGTGAGCTTGTCATGAGCCGATCCTATACCTGGTATCACTATCCAAACCGACCAATCTGAACATATTTCCGAAAATGACCTTAAAAGATCACATGAGAACCAAGTGGGATTTGAAGCCCTAAGCTCACCAACAGCCTCATATTTGGATGCATCCATAATTGTGCACTTATCAAAAATTTATTCGTTGACCTGACTCGCGAGCATAGCGATCAAGTATCACAGCCAACCATCGAATATTCATAAGATTATATTCTTTCAAGAAAAAATAAACAGTCATCGGCATAAATTGGGATAACCGGGAACACCTCTACCCTTGCAAACATCAATGCCTCTACCATGAACTCGTATATTATAAACGGGTGAAGACAGAGATTGTTGGCACAAAAAAAATAAGTAGGGGGAGAGAGGACAGGACACCCTTGCCTGAGAGACCTCTGATAGTATGAAAGAAATCTTAGCCTTTGCATTCCTTCAACTTCACGTACAACTACTTTGACCAAGTCGGTCGGAGCTTAATCGAGATACTGGTTCAATGATCTGGCAAGCTGGATAGCGGACAATACCTTGGTTGATGGGCCGGACTCTCGTCTCACCGGCACGATGCATTGGCATCGGGGATCCAAGATACATATACAATTGGCAAAAGGTACAAGGAGAGCGTTTATCCGATCAAGAAAGTCTAGCCCAATGACAAAGTCATAGTCATCAAGAGAGATTACCTCGAGTGTCTCCTTTCCTTTCCAATCTCCGAGTTGTAGCTCGACCCCGCCTGCCATGCCAATGGTTGGGACCTCCTTCATATTCACCGTCTTGATTCATCCCGTGCCTTTCTTCACCTTAAGATCAAGTCTCTTGGCAGCTCTTTCCGATACGAACAAATCGGGGGGTTGCACTATGGCTGGAGCTGGTAAGAGGGGGATATTTTTGAAATTGGTAACTACATTAATCAGCGGTTGTTGCACCCTGTTCATGATTGGCTTGCGAAGGTTCTCCGACGCATCCCAATGGATGGGACGGACGTTCGACCAAGTAGCACCTTTAGATAGGTTTCGGGGCTCTTTTGTGTCTTTCTCTTTCGATCTGAGTGTGAAAAAGGTTCTCTCGGCTATTGGATCAGCTATGACGAACGTCAGCGACGGAGACATCGTAAATTGGTCCGCGGGCATCGCGATAAGTTCTCTGTCCTACTACAGGTGCCACGACAACCTTTACCAAGCCCGAACAATTGTCGACTACCAGATCCATTGGTCTGCAATATTCACCCTGGTCCACAAGGACGGTATGGAACCACCAGTTCACCACGGAAAGCGAATTCCCACGTTCCAGCGTGCATTATGCCAACAGGTCTCACCCCCAATTCAGAGCAGACTTGATGAATGACTGACCTATTGGTGTAGTAAGAAGAATTCCCCTCTTCTCTACTATTATAAAATAGCTCTTTTCTTTTGCATGAATCCGTTCTGACTCTTTTCTCTCCTGCGATAGTAAGGGAAGTTGGCTGGTCACAAGGAAATCGGAGCTGTAGTAGAAGGAGTCAAAGGCTCTGACAAGACGTTTCCTACTGAGAAACCAACGTTTAACGACACACATGAGGTACAGAAGGCACATTCTAAGGCGCTATAGAGCTCTTAAGTTAAGAAAGAAGAAAGATCAATATAGTGCTTACTATAAGTATAAGCTAAGCACCTGTTACATAATCAACTGCTTGGTATTAGTCGTGTGTGTAAGCCAAACCCTAATGGGATTCTAATATAGCCTATTAGGAACTAAACTAGCACCAGCCTTTCCAGAGTTGGAACCGAACTAACGAAACTAGCTAGCACCACGTCTCCCCACTATACAAAGAGATAGAGGCCTTTGATTCCTCCTCCCACGTCTTTGTTTCATTGCCTTAATTTCTTAAGCAGCTGATTTATTTAAATTCCGCAACAACAACATCTATTGTGATTATAGTCGGTGTTGGTTGGTACGTAACACGATGTCCACGAATCAAAGAAAAGGTAATTAATTGGACTGACTCGTGGCCTGTGGAGAGTTGTGACATGTTGGGCATATGCTTTACATTCACTACGATCGCAAACATAATCGTGTGGGCGATTCTGATGCCTCTGGTTCACAGGTTCCAACATCATTCCACACCAAGACGCGACGTGAGGAATCTCATCTTAACCATAATTTTTTGCATCCTTCTTCATCGTCTTGCCCATCCTTTCGTTCTGGCACATGATTTATTGGTTACCTTCATCTAGATAGAGGAGGAGCAATCCAGCAGCAATCAACAACCACCGATTTGGAGGGCATCATCGTTGATCCTTCCTCATCATCAACAATTCTTCATCCATTGTAATTTACATTTTAATCTTCTTATGTACTAAGTAAGTTTGCTAACCATGGTTTTTTTTCTTAATCTTGTGCTCCCTCTGTTAGTGGAAAAAATATTGGCCCTCTAGTTTGTTGCTAAAATTTTCATATAAGTTATCACTTTCCCACTAAATTAATATTTTATTCTAATTATTGTGTCTATCTATACTACCTTATTCTCTTCATTCTAATTTAATAGGCTCACTTTCTAGTTTGAAATTTTTTTAAATTGTCTCATTAACATTAATTTTATCTATGAATTTCGTAATATACCCCCACTACCATCATTTGACCTAGATGCTGGGGCGACTTTAATGTTATGTTTAAATTAAATAAAAAAAACAATACCAAATTATAAAACTATGTAACTTTAAAAATATAATATGCCATAACATTAAAAAAAAAATCACATATCCCTTTTACCCTATTAAAGCAGAAGACATGAAGCTTATGTGGCAACTAAGTATGCATCTGTTTTGGCTCCAATGCACCATATTTCAGATTTCAGGAGTCTTTTTGCTACGTGTAAGTCTCTTTTAATTAGAAGTTATATAATTTTTTTTTTTTAAAAAAAAACACATGTTTTACTACAAATAAGGATCAGTTACATTTCAAACGAATGGATATATTAATTCAAATTCAAATGTTCAATCATATAGTTTTGCAGGCTTAATATAAACAAAAAATAAAAACTGGATTCAATTTTGAACCGATAATTAAATGGAGTTCATGTTAAAACTGGATTCAATTTTGAACCGATAATTAAAAAAAAAGCAATATCATCTTAATCGGTAAATAATCAAACAAAGTATCCATTATATAAGTCAGAACATAAGTCACATCCAAAGGGTTTAATGTTTCGGCTTGTTTCAGCCACCGATTTACCATCCCGTTCAGCCACCGTGGCCACAATGGTTGTTCTCTTTTGGGGATTCTTTCTTTGCGGAGAAGAATAAATTGGAGCAAACACAACCCGTGCCTGATGAGAGAAAATAAACGAAATTGATGATGGTGGAGTATCTATCACACACCCATTCAAAGGTGGCGGCTACATTTTGCAGCCAAATTTAAAAAAAAAAACGAAGATTTTATTAACTGAATGGAAAAGATAATGGGAAGATTATTGTTATCCTATGCTAAAATTAGGGAAACATGAGCAAAGATTGGGATTCCTTGTTTACTTTATTCTCATTTAAATTGGCTGAGTTTTTTATTTTATTTTTTTTGGTGAAATAAATAAATATTAGTATACTAGTATGTTTTTGACTCCGAAGCCATCCTTTTTTCCGCACATTTAGAGTGGCACGTGTCAATTTTTATTTTGTACTAAAAAAGGCCTTTGGCGGAAAAATTTTCAACGTGGATCTGACATCTGTCCTTCTTGTATGTTGCTTTAATTAAGTACAATAAATTTAGAACATTTAATTGAATTCAACTCTCAATTTCACTATATTAACTATTAACACTAGTCATTAGTAAAAGCACATTAGGTAAATTACTCAAAAACTAACCATTTAAATTATTTTATCTACTTTTTTTAATATCGGTGTTCGTCTAAATGAGCCTATCGAATTGGAATGGAGGGAGTACGCAACATATGTAATAGCTACCTCAAAAGTTATTTCCCAAATGTACAAAGAATCAGCAAGTACCCATTAATTACTTCCCAAAATGAAAATAAGATCATTTTTTGTTGTACAAAATAAAAGAATTACTTTCCGAGAAATGCAGTATTGATGGAGAACCTCAATAGTCAATATCCACACCAAAGTAAATTCAAACTAAGCTGCCTTGGGTATCCAATGTTTTCTTCAAGGTTGCATTCAGATTAGCCAATAAAATTGATGCAGAGATAAGTAGGGAAAAATAGCCGGAAAAGCCAAGTTGCAAACGTAGTATTCAAAACAAAAGTAGTCGGCGGACAAAAACAAGTTTGACTTTGACAGTAATGAACCGACTTGAGGGAAAAGTACGTATGAGAAAACATCACAGTTTCTGCGTCGAAATGAGTCTCGTGTATGTCGTAAAACAACTAAAATGATCATTATTTGTGACGGGGAAAAAAAAAATACAGAAGGCATGCTAATAAAAAGATAAAGAGAGAATGGCTAGAATTTGCTTGGACGGATTGCACGCAATTAACAATATCTCAGTATTTCTTGTTCTTTCTTCTTTTCCCAGATTGTGAAATTGAAGATTGTAGTAACACTACTCAAAACAACAAATGTCAATTTTGTCTTTCTAGAGTATTTACATTTTTGGAAAAATTTATAAACATTCTAACACGCGTGAAAACATGTTGATCGTTATTAAAAATGTAGTATGTAAACCTAACATGAGATTACATAGGGTCAAGAGAAATTGTAATCTAAAAAGAAAAGGCACTGACCCTCAGAGCTATACCAAAGATGTTTTTTGAATTTTTTTTTTTTTTTTTGAAAGGGCTATACCAAAGATGCCGTTTTAAAGTTATTCGGGAGTTTCATTTTTTTTCCCCCAGAAGATGTTGTGTGATACTTTTATTGTTTTTTTTTTTAAATTTTCGTTACTTTTAATAGTCCCGTTTTGTAGATAAAAATAAAATAAAATTGACTATTAAAATTGAACGAAGTGGGTTTCACACACGTTGCGGAGATAAATGTGATTTACCAATAAAAATCTTAGCAAATTTCTGTGTAAACGCAATTTTTTCTCTTGTGATCTTTGAGCTTTTTGCTTCACACTATTTCTCTTAAGTTTTACGTATGTACTTAATTAAAATAAAAGGAAAAAACAAATTAAAAGGAGAGACAGTGAGATTGTTAGTTTCTAGTAAATAACAACTACCACCTTGTTATTTAGATCGAAGGATGCAATTCAAGTCGTCAACATAATTATACATTAGCTATCTCTCAATTTGGTATAGTGGCTGAGGGAGGAGGGGGATAGTAGGGGCAGTTGCCCCCTCCCTGCAGATATTCATAAGAAAACTACAAGGAAAAAAAAACTACTCCTTCCGTCCCATAATTAATTATTGTCCAGTTTAAATTTCTATTTTTAGTTCAAATTGCACTAAAAGTGAGATCTCAAATTGGACAATAATTTTGGGACAGAAAGAGTATAAACTTTGTAAATTTTTTATTTTCATCCTTACTAAATTTTTTATAAAGTTTCGCTCCCGCTTTCTTCAATTCCTAACTTCGCTGCTGATTTGGTTCAAACACAAACAGGTCGAATCGTCAAGAGCCGATCCTATCCCCGGCATCACTATATCGTGCCAAACCGACGAATCATGTTTTCGAAAATGTTCTTCAAACATAATTTTAAACACATATTTTGAAATTAAAAAAAAAAAAAGTATAAGACCCCCAGTTCCTCGTCTACACATACGCTCATATGCAAATTTTGTACGTCTCAAACTTGGATAATGAAATACTTGTTAATGCCGTACTAAGAAGGCATGATTGTTGATACAATATTTCGGCTTTCGGCGATTGTTGGGACTTGAAATCATATTTTGGACTTCTCGTGGTGGCAGAAGTTGATTTTAGTGGCAATTGTTGCCGAGTTGAACACTCGACTGAGGCAGCTAGGTCGTATGGGAACCACCCGTTGGGCTATTTCGGGATTTACAGGATTTGAGTTGACTACATAGAAACAAAACAACAAAACTATGACAATTTCTATTGAGAATCTAAGACTCCATTTGGACAAGAGTTTTAAAAATAATTTTAAGGCTAAAATGTCTGTTTAGAGTTTAAAATGTGTTTGGACAAAATAATTAAAGTCTTTTCTAAACATCAATTTGAAAAAAAGAAGGCTTAAAACAGACTTTTTAGAAAATAAGTAGGGGGTATTTTTTAATTTTTTGAAACAGGACTTTTTTTTCCGGTCGCGAGTCTAAATCTGGGTCGAAGGCGGGTTATGAAAAAATCGGGTCATGAATATAACGAAAAACAAAGACCTTTCTCACTCTCTTCATACCCTAGACTGCCGCCCCTTTCTCACTATCTCTCCTTCGGCACCTCTGCGACGGTGATGGCGACGGCAAAACTTCCCATGACGGCGACGGCGAAGTAGGAGGCGACACCTTGTTCTGTTAATCTTTCTTTTTTATTCCCGTCTTTTTTTATTATATTAGGTTTAGCTTCCAATCACTTCTAATACTTAGATTTACACTCAAATCCTTGTCACTTCAGTAGGGATCTGTGTCAATTTTTCGTGAGTTTTGTTTATTGAATCATTTCGAAGTGAGTTTGCTTTTTGTGTCGGAATTCATTGCAAACTCAGCCTTCATACTACTACAGTTTCCTTTCCTTTGAATCTGGGTAGTGAATAACTCTAGTTAATTAGTTAATAGTCAGCTTAGTACCCCGGATAAGTTAGAGTAGAGTGTTGGTTAACTTTTGTGCATTTCAGAGTTTAATGAGTTGGAAAAAATAGTCGCAGGATGCAACCTCCATCAAATGGAGTTTTCATTGTCCTTCCAATAGGGCATTTCCATTTCTTGTGTTCTGTTAATGTTTGATTGATATCGGTTAAAGCCCCGCCAAGTCATCAAGCGTTTTTGTGTTTGATGAGGTAAAATTTGCTTCAAAGGTATACACAGACGCGAAGACAAGAGCTCAAAGGACCTACCCATTTTAGAGGAATTACGTATATACGGTAGTAAGACATTTCTGTTTAGATATTTTTGCTGTATTCCTCAACTGGCAGATTACTTCATGTTTTGAATCTTATTTTCGGGATTATCACTGCAAGATTCAGTTTCCACCCTTTTTTCGTATTATCGAGTTCCTTTAGATATCGGCTCGTTTCATTGAATCAGTATAACTTGATATTTGTAATCATAACAGCAAGATTTGTTTTGTATTTTGATGAAAAATGAACTCTTTTTCGTATATGGTTAAGTTTATATGCATTTATTCATTCTTTTTGGAATCGATATCTTAATCTTTGTGATCGTCACTGCAAGATTCAATTTTCTATATTCTGATGATTGAAAATGTCCTTTCCATGTTAGTTTAGTTTTCATATTAAGTTTTATTTCCTCCTCTGTACAAGATACAATTTACATTTCTGTCATGGGCCTATAGTTCTTTCAATCTATACTGTACCTTGTTTGTCACTTGTTCTGTTCTCTAAAGTTTTCATAGATAATGTATCTCTGCATTTCCAGACTTGATGAGCAGTTTTGTACCTCTTTTTTAATCTTCTCATTATCCTATTCGGAAGGTTGTTTGTTTTCTTGATTAATGGATGCTCTTGTTGAGCCCTACTTGGCTACCTTCAATTATTACTCTGTACCTCAGCATCTTAATCATATCCAGAACGATGAAGTCGTCCAAGCGTACAACTATGTCCCTGGTAGCTTTGAGGATTATTCAGACTTATCAAATGGCTATTTGGGTTTTGAAATTGATATTGTTTTCATGAACTCCATGCGTCTCTGTCTGATTCGTATGCTGCTCCAAGTTGTTCCACTCTGGATTGACTTTCCATTTGTTTAATCTGCAACATGCCAGGGCATCATCAGAAGCTAGTCTAGAGCAGCAGAACATGTTGTATACTGTAATATGGGATATGAAACCTTTCATTGATGAACTTAAGCAAAAGGTTTCCAGAGCGGAAAATAAGTCTTAAAATGCTGAGGAACAATCGCATGGTTCTTTCTCATGCTAACTTAGACTTCAAAATAGAACATGAATTTTTATGGAGTAGAATTGACTCCTTGGAGACAACTCTGGATCATGTTACTATTGAGAAAATGGCAAGTGCAAAAGACATAAGTATCAAGACCAATGTCATTATGGATATGGTAATGCAACTTGCACTGGCAAGGGAGCATGTAAAGAAACAAGTACCTTTACTTTTATTGCATTTCTGTTGATTTATTCAACTAACAGAAGATTTATTACACCCCTCTGCAGAGGAGGTGCATTCCTCATATAATATTCTGCAATTTTATTTTCTTGCTTCAGGAGGGAAGGCACGCTATAACTAAGATAACATTGAATACAATCTGGTAGACTAAGAAGTTGAGATGATTGACATTGTTGCACCTTAATGATTTAGCGAAAGAAAACAAGTTCCTCAAAGTGAAGCTAAGAAAGACTGAAAAGGATGAATGCTTGACTGCACGTGACGACATTGATAAGAGTGAAAAAATGTTGCCAACATCTAGAGCTGACTCGGCTAATGCGTCGTTGAATGCTGACTCACAAGGAAAGTCATCAAAATCATTCTCCAACTCTCTGGTAAGATTTCTTCACCAATCTTAGTCAAATGTTCTGTATTTGTGCATTTAAAGTAGTTTTTTTGGCATATTCAGAAATACAGTTTTGAAGCGAAAATGAAACTTATAACAGTCATATCTATCATTTTTGCAAATCTGATCATCTTTCATCCTGCCGCGCATTAATGCTAATACAGATGTTAAACTTGTTGATCCAGGTGGAGGAAACACTTAATACTGCATCTTCAGATCAAAATGAAATTGACATTTCCAACAGTGCATAAAATGGCAATAATCTAGATTAAAAAATGGAGGATAATAATCTGATCAAGGCACGGAAGAGTAGCAAAATGTACGTAGTCATAGCGATGTTGATAGTCTTACTAGCAGGATTAGCAGCTTATTTCTTGAACTCAAATCATGCACCCTTCCAGTTCTTAGATGCTTATAACCATTTGGTCTTTTAGCTTAGTATAGCAGGGCATTCATTTATTAACTTGCACATATTTTCCCTCAGTAGGTTGTGCTTGTAGTAATTTTGGAACAAGATAATTGCAAATAATAAAACAAAAATTTAGGCAATAAAAGTGAAAAAAAAAAAATGAAAATGACAATTTGTGTAAGAGTGATTTTATTTTTTTTAAAAAAAAAATTTCACAAATTATTTTGAAGAAAAAGTAATTTTGGAAAAAACCTAGTTCAAATGACTTTTTAATAGTTCTAATTACTAAAAAAGTTTTGAAAAATTCTTGTCCAAATGCATTATTTTTCAAAAAGTATTTTTTTTAAATTTTGGTTGAAACAGACTTTTCTAAACAAATTTTCAAAACAATTGTCCAAATGGAGCCTAATTTTGCCACATGATCAGTTAGCTTTATATATTAACTTCTACTTGCCCCGAAAACAGTTGGGGGGTTGTTGGGGTTTAAAGAAATGGATATTACTATTATTGTACGAAATGGACATGAAAAATGTGATTCACTTGAAATGTGTTTTAAACTCGTGTCTGAAATTAAATTCAAGAATCCCAGTACAATTAATAATTTCTCCAATATATGAACATAACATCACATTCTCCCGTCGGCAGGTCCTCCCCTATAAAAAAACATATTGTCTTTAGCCCAGAATGGAAGTGGAGAATTCCAAAAGGAAAAGAAATTGAAAAGTTAAAAGTGTGACCATAACTATTATGGATGTCGCTTACAACCTGTTTTCTCTAGCATTCTACTTCATCTTCTTCTGGTTAGGCATTTATGTGTTTACCTCAAATTTAAGGTCCAAGAAATCAAGAGTTCTTCTTCCTCCAGGGCCGTACCAGTTTCCGATTATCGGTAATCTCCACCAGATTGGCAAGAAGCGTCATCAATCATTTGCAAAATTGTCAAAAATATATGGCCCTCTCATGTCAGTTAGGCTTGGAACCAAGCAAACCATAGTTATATCATCAGCTGAAATGGCCAGAGAAGTCCTACAGAAAAATGACCTGATTTGCTCCAACCGTTCGGTACCAATTGCAGTCCAATCCCTTGATCACCACAACTTTTCTGTGGGATGGCTTCCATCCTCGTCGACCCAATGGCGATACATACGTAAAATGTGCAAAGAACTTATATTTTCGACTCAAATTCTCAATGCCAGCCAGGCCCTTCGTCAGGAAAAGCTAAAAGAATTACGGGATTATGTTCACTATTGCAGTAGGAACAGGAAAGCAGTCGACATTGGTGAAGCTGCCTTCACCACATCTCTCAATTTAATATCAAAGACTGTGTTTTCGCAAGATTTTGTCGACTTTGATACCGATTCATCGAAAGAGCTCAAGGACATTTTCTTAGGTGTGTTCAAGTACATTGGTCGTACTAATCTTTTAGATTACTTCCCCGTCCTTCGACCGATTGATCCACAAGGAATTGCGCGTAACGCCAAGTCCTGCCACCAAAATTTGTTCAATATCTTCGAAGGTTTCATCGATGAACGGCTTATTGCTAGACAAAGTTCATCAGAGACAAAGAAGAATGATCTGTTGGATGCTCTTTTGGATGAGAACAGAAAGAATGAGTCTGAATTCAGCATTAATGACCTGAAACATTTGCTTCTGGTGAGTCGTAGCCTCCTCTCTGATAGTCCTAATTTCATATTTAATCAAGACTCTTATTTTGAGACACGTTATATTTTCTATATATGATATTTTAACATAGTTGAACCTTAATTAGTTTCATGATGTTATGTGTGTATGTAGGATTTGTTTACAGCTGGAACAGATCCAGTTTCATCCACCGTTCAATGGGCAATGGCGGAGTTACTGCATAACCCTGGAAAGATAGAAAAAGTCAGGGAAGAACTTAAGCAAGTGATTGGGGAGAGGGAAGAAATTCAAGAATCAGACATTTCTAAGCTCCCTTACTTACAAGCAATCGTTAAAGAAACTCTTCGCCTTCATCCGCCAGGACCCTTACTTCTGCCACACAAAGCTAGTGAAGATATTGAAATCGATGGTTACACGGTTCCAAAAGATACAGAAATACTGATCAATGGATATGCCATCGCACGAGATGAGAGAATATGGTCAGAACCCGAAATGTTTAAGCCAGAACGATTTCTGGAGAGCCAAATCGATTTCAAAGGGAAACACTTCGAACTAATTCCGTTCAGCGCTGGCAGAAGAATATGCCCCGGACTTCCTATGGCTTATAGGGTGCTACACCTGATGCTGGCATCTTTGATTCACAAAATTGATTGGAAACTTGAAGGCGGGATTGAGCCACAAGATTTGGACATGGATGAATTGTTTGGGATGACTCTACATAAGGCACTTCCCCTCAAAGCTATACCAAAGTTGTTTTAAATTTATCCGCGACTATTTTTCTTCCCCGCATTAGATGTTCCCTGATAAGCTTTGTACTCTTCATTTGTCTAATTTTCATAGTCTCATTTATGAACCATAATAATTAGATAAAGTTGACTGTTAAAATTGGATGAACCAGGTTTCACAAAGAGAGATGAATGTGATTCACCAATTAAAATCTTATTACGAGTAACCCAATTTTTCTCTAGTGATCATTCAACTTTTTTGCTTCACACTATTTTTCCTGGATTCTACGTATTTAACAAGATGGAGAGATGGAGAGATTGTCAGTTTTTATCTAAATTATAACAACCATCTTACGTTTTCTAGATTGAAGGATGCAATTCAAGTCATTAACATAATTATACACATTAGATTAGATATATCTCAGTTTGGTTTTAAGGTAATCGGGTCGAATTATCATGAGCGGATCCTATTCCCGGCATCACTATCGTGCCAAACCGACCACTCTGCATGTACAGTATTTTCGAAAATGATCTTGAAAGACATTTTCAAACACATATTTGACGTACAAAAAACAAAGTATTAGACCCCAGTTCCTCGTACATATGCTGATATGCACGTGTATTATAATTATTATTGTGGTCATGAAATTTTTGACAAAAATTGGTTGGACATAGTCATACGGCACGAGGACGATGACGGTTTCAGAAACCCATCACGTTTCGCAATTTGTCGTTTCATTTTCGTCCCTTTTTCTTCCTGGCTATGTACGTAGGTCGTCCGAATTAAATTGCTCTGTTGGATCATTTGTGACATGACACGAAAATCACGATTCATATCTTACACAACAATATATATATATGTATATATATATATATATATATTTATCTTTATACACTATATAGTAATGGGCGTAAGGTAACTCCATAAATTACACAGATAGCGTGGATTGGATATTAAAATTGAGTACTTGTGGTTGTGGACACGCATTGCTTAGAATTTTATGGTAAATAAAGGCTCTTACGGTCAGTTCCCGCTATATATAAATCGACGATGTACTCTATTAGCCAAGAATGCAAGAACAGAGTTCCAAAAGAAGAAGAAAATAAGTAAATAACAAGTTGGCTAGTACAAATGGAATTCACTACCATCCTCACTTCCATTGTACTCTATATTCTCATCTGGCTATGCATTTATATGCTCACGTCAAAATTAAGGTCCAGGAATCTCCCTCCAGGACCTTACCAGTTTCCGATTATCGGTAACCTCCATCAGATTGGCCAAAAGCCACATCAAGCATTTGCCAACCTCGCAAAAATCTATGGCCCTTTAATGTCTGTTAGGCTAGGAACCAAGCTAACCATTGTTGCATCATCAGCAGACACTGCAAAAGAAATTCTACAAAAACACGACCCGATTTGCTCAAGCCGGTCCATACCAATTGCGGCTCAGTCACTTGATCGTCACAAGGTCGCAATGCCCTGGCTTCCACCTTGCGCTGAATGGCGATACCTTCGTAAGATCTGCAGAGAGAATCTCTTCTCGAAACAGAGGCTTGATTCAAGCCAAGCCCTTCGTCAGGAAAAGCTGAATGAATTGCGGGTTTATTTGAACAGTTGCAGTGACAGCAGCAAAATTGTGGACATTGGTGAAGCTGCCTTCACCACATCCCTGAATTTGATGTCCAGGAGTTTGTTTTCGACTGATTTTGCGAATTACGACAGCGATTCCTCTCACCTCAAGGACGTTGTCTTTGGTGTGTTGAAGTATATTGGTGCTCCTAACCTTTCAGATTACTTCCCTGTCCTTAAACCGATTGACCCACAAGGAATCGCGCGCAACTCAAAGTTCTGCCACCAAAATTTGTTTGATATCTTCGATGGTATCATCAAGGAGCGGCGAATTGCCAGAGAAGCAGAACCTGAGACAAGGAAAAGCGATTTGTTGGAGGTCCTTTTGGATGAAAACATGAGGAATGAATCTGAATTCAACACCAATGTCATCAAAAATTTGCTTCTCGTGAGTATTTAATTTCTTTCTGATGTAATTAATTAAGAGCTATTTTGATCTATTGTGAGCATTTCCGTGTTCTCCTGTGATAATTCTAAGAAGTTAAAGAGACAACATATATCTAGACATGAAACTAGATTTTTTACTTTCAGTTTAGTTTTGTAAGTACTACTATAATTTAAGTCCTCAACAATATGTAATTTGATGGAAATGGACTTTGATTTGATGGTAACGTTGGTATCAATATGTTATGTGTTTAGGATTTGTTTGTAGCTGGAATAGACACAACTTCAGGCACTGTGGAGTGGGCAATGGCGGAGTTAATGCGTAGTCCTGAAAAGTTGAAAAAAGGTAAAGAAGAACTCAAGCAAGTCATTGGAGAGGAAGGAGTAATTCAAGAATCCGACATTTCCAGGCTCCCATACTTACAAGCCATCGTTAAAGAAATTTTTCGACTTCATCCAGCCGGAGCCTTACTAGTTCCTCACAAAGCTAGTGAAGATGTTGAAATCAATGGTTACATTGTGCCGAAAGACACACAGATTTTGGTCAATGCGTATGCTATAGGAAGAGACGAAAAGGTTTGGGCAGAACCGGAAATGTTTAAGCCGGAGCGATTTCTGGATAGCGAAATCGACGTGAAAGGAAAGCATTTCGAGCTCATTCCATTTGGCGCCGGGAGAAGAATATGTCCAGGACTTCCTCTGGCTTACAGGATGGTGCACCTAATGCTGGCTTCTTTCATTCACAACATTGAGTGGAAACTTGAAGGGGAAATCAAACCACAAGATTTGGACATGGACGAAGTATTTGGGTTGACGGTACAAAAGGCAATGCCCCTCAAAGCTATCCCGATGAAGCTGTAAATTCAATACACTATTAATTGCGTGCAAACGGATGCATTTTCTCCTCTCATTTTCACCAATCCATTCATTTCAATTATCGATCATTCAAATTTCAATGTCATGTCAGAGTTTGTGTCGGCTGACTCACCTATAGAAATATATAATCACGTTTCGCAATTTGGTATTTCTTTCCCTTTTTTTTTTTTTTTCTCTTCTTCACACCGGAAAGAATGATTGGATAATTAGTACAGAAGCTCATGAGGTTTCACCTCAAAACCAATTGGAAATGAGGAAAATAGCCCATAGAGCTTATATATTGATACTCAGAGTCTCCCAATACCAATGTGGGATTGTGACTCTTTAATACTCTCCCGCAAGCCCAATGTAATTTTTGGGTTGGGTTTGTCCTATTTTTTTCAGCCCAGATACCGTCTCACGTCTCAGCGCTATTTTTTGTTAGGCTTTTTGGAGTTCGAATGTCAGCGGCTGGCTTTGATACCATATAAAAGCCCATGGGGTTCCACCTCAAAACCAATTGACAATGAAGGGAGTAGCCCATGGAGCTTATATATTGATACTCAGAGTCTCTCAACACCGATGTGGGATTGAAACTCTTTAATAATTAAGGCAGCCGAATCTGAAATGAACTTATTGAATATGTGGTATTCTATTATTCTCAAATACCGATACATGTTAAATACCCGATACATCTTTGCCCAGAATGTAGATAAAGTGAGTTGTAGATAGAGTGAGTTGCCAAAGGTAGGTGATGAGTGCATTTCGTATTATGTTTTTAGGTATACAATTTAACTCTTTATGCTTTAATTATAGGTCAATTAGGTTAGATTTATATAGCAATAGGCTAATTTGATGACTTGTGGTTCTCCAGGGACCGAAATGCAATACGGGCAGAAAATAGGGTAAAATACGACAAATTGGTGAAGTTTCAGGCCAAATTAGAAGTTGCTGCAGGGACCGGTCGTGCAAAGACTGAAAAGAGGAAGAATCCGGCGGGAAGAAGGCCAAATTGGAGCAAACCTTCGGAGCTAAGGAAGCAGAGCCATAGGTGAAGTAATGCTGCTGACATTGGGAGAAGATTGATTTGCCTTAAAACTGAAGTCATCAACTAAATCTCTCCTAATTCTAATTAGAGGTAAGGGGGAAGTTGGGAGAAGTATGGACAAGCCTCTCTTTTGCATAAAACCCATCGGGTAAAGAGGAGACCAACATGGCTAAGTAAGAGCTCTCCACTAACCTCTATAAAAAGCAGCAGCAGCACGAAGACGAAGGCATCAAAGTCCAAAATATAGCTTAGAAGTAGATTGTAGTGTAGTTTAGTTCAGTAGGAAGAAAATAGAGTATAACTCTAGGAGGTAGACTCAGGAGCGTCTTTTGGGGAAGTGAGAATTTGACTCTGTGAAGTCAGCTGTACTTAACCACACTCCCTGACTTTACTCTTCCCCTGTTTTCTCTCCTTTCTGTGGTAATCAGGATGAAGTCTCAACACTTGAACTTTGTGGTGTTTGAACTTCACTCCATGAGTAGCTAAACTCATTACTAGGGTCTAATCCCTCTACTCTATATAATTATGTTTTGATTCATGCTCTCGGATGATATTTATATGCTTAGTTCTAGAGTTTAAATTATCCTTTTATGTTGAACAAGCCATTCAAACTAATTTTGCATGCATGTGAAGGGAATCCCGGAAGGGTAAACTTCACTTAGAACGTCTAGAATTAACCGGTGACGAGGGGGTAACAACCCAATATTTCAAACAATAACGGAAGTTAGTTGTTTGGTATGAGGCAATCATAAGGGCTTAAGATCTCAATGGCTTAGTAGTAATTTCGAGTCGACAATGGAAGTTAGTTTACTGGTTACTACTAGGATTGCTGTTTGGAACAATCAGAAGTGACCTTACAGTGTTTATGTGCCTGATTGAATACAGTTTCATACCACATAGAGAGCTAAAAGAATCAATAAATATGCATATAGAGTAGAGTGGAGTACGACCCTAGGCTGCCATCACTTTGTCAAGTCAATTACTCAACACTCCCCCGTCTCTGTGGGATCGACCGTTCTTATCACTTGATACAAGTTTTAAGTAGGTTTATTTTGATGGTCTCGACACCCATTAGTAGGAAAAAGAAAGCAGATCAACGAAGTAGAGAGCTGTTATGGAAATCACAAACAACCTGTTTCCCTTTACATCCTATTTTCTAATTACCAGCTCATGCATTTATGTGGTCACCTCAAATATAAGATATAGGAGATCGTCAGCTGGAGTTGTTTCTCCTCTAGAGCCTTACAAGTTACCAATCATTGGTAATCTTCATCAGATGTTAATGTATATATATTAGGGTTAGTTTAAGGG